AAATCGACACACAAAAATGAATGATTTTTATAATTATTTTCAAAAACTTGGCACTTTTATTTAGCAGCATCCAAAATGTGTGGAATACCAAAATTTGAAGAAAAATATGTATGAATATGTATGTGTATGCGTATGCGTATGGGTGCCCTTGTCACTACATTCGGCAATTGCTGTGAACTGTTACCAAGTCAAACCCAATTAAATTAAACTCAACTAAATACATTCAAGCAAAACAGTTAATTATCAAAACCGAAGCAGAAGCAGAGCCAAAGCTTAAGCAAAACAAAGCATAATTCCCAGTTCAACTTTCTTCTGTCTCTCTCTCTCTCTCTCTCTCTCACTCACACTCCGCAAAACGTTTTCGAACACTGCGTTATCGTGCGTTCGCCAACCCACCCGCTATACAGACACACACACACACACACACGCATACACACACAACACGCACGCAAAACAATCAGGAAGAAGAATCGGACTGAACGAAATCGGCATGCTCTTTCCTTATTCAATCTACACATCGCTCTCGCTATCTCTCTCTCTCTCTCTCTCTCTCTATGTCTGTGTCTGTCACTGAGTGACAGGTAGAAATGCTGAATATCAGCAAAGGGTTAGATCATTATCTCAATCTGTGTCAAATTGCATCACATTACAATACACACACACGCACACAAGCAAAGAGCATACAAAGACAGCTAAACTCAACGAGAAGAGCTCGCAAGTCAACACTCGATAGTTTATCAATGTGTAAATAAAATCGCTTTAGTATTTGTATGCGTGCCCGCTATGTATGTGTGTGTGTTTGTATTGTTGCCCAAAAAATTTCAATAGCAAAGGTCGATGAACTCGCGCCGTGCCAATGCCTGGCGTTGTGCTTGCTCTCTTTCTCACTCACTCACTAACTCACACACACACGCACAAACAAGCGCACAGCGTAGCCAACCGTGTGCGTGTGTGTGTGTTTGTGTTGTTTATGAGAGAGTTTGGCGTTCCGCATTGCGCGCTCTCTTTTGGCGCTCTCTTGGTGTTTTTTTTTGTTGACTCTCTTTGGTTTTGTGCACTGCTTCCTCGTTGCGTTTCATTCATAAACAGAGAGCGCCAGATATCGGCCAGTCCAACGAACCAACGAACGGCTGTACGCGTTTCACATGTGCTTTGACCCCCACACATACAAACACACACACACACAGATAGACTTACAATGAGCTTAAACTGTTACGTTAGTATGTTACGTTAAATTTAATTCGGCTACTTACATCAACTGTTGACGTCCTTGCAGCGGCGGCATTTTTGTGGCCGGCTGGCGCTCATTTAATGTGTGCCTTTTCTTTGCTCTGCTTTTGCTGATGCTAATAATAATGCTGCTGCTGTGGCTGCTATGTTAAAGGTGTAATCCATGCTCTGTGGCTCTGCCAGCGAGCGACTGTAAGTTGAGCTTTAACAGTTGAGCCTTGCGTTTTAAATATTGCAGCTGCTGTTGTTGTTGTTGTTGATGCTGTTCCTGTTATTGTCGAGTTTTGCTCTTAAACTATGCCGTTTTGCACTCTTCTTCTTGGATTCACAATCCAACAGCAGCGATGTTTTGTTAAGCTTTGTTTTGTTTTGTTTTGATCTGTTGTGATTGTTTTTGTTATTTACACATGGATATACAATATATGTGTGTATTTATGACATATACTAATTAGATATATATATATATATATATATACATTTGCATTTGACATAACAAATTTGTGATGAGAATTTCCTTAATTTGTATTTATTTTATATTTATTTTTACATATTTATTATTATTTATTTATTTGTATTTTTTGCTGCTTTTGCACTTATGTTGAACACATTGCGGGGTATCTCGCTGATTCCGTTTCTTTTTATTTATTTATTTATTTTTTTTTTTTACATACAATTCATGCCTCACTTTATATCCTAGGCTTAAATTAAGGCGCTCTCGCTCTTGCTCTCAGCTGAGAACATATCTTTAACGGTTGTTGTTTGATTCTCGCTTCTCACTTCTCGCTTGTCACATTTTCAAATTTCTCACATCACGTTTGGCATGCAACAAAACTGCACAAAACTATCTGCAAAAATACACAATAACAAAAAAAATGCGTTCAATTTGTTGTTACCGCTGCCGCTGCTCTCTCTCTCTCTCTCTCTCTCTCTCTCTTTATATAAAGGGGAGTGGGGGGGGCGGTTGTTCAGGGCAGGGCAGAGAGCAGTGCATGCATTGCAACAAAAACAAATCCCGCTAAGGCGAAGTCGATGCCGGCAGCGCGTCCTTTGTGGGGCGTCTTGGCGCCTATTTTGGCCACTTGTCAATTGCTTTAGCCAAAGGCAAACACACACACACACACACACACGCACACAAACACGCACACACACACACATACACACTCACACACACATATATATATAGACACATGCAATTGCACTCTGTACACTTTTTATTTGATGCATCTTTTTGCAGTTAAAATATACGACAAAAAAAATACAACAAAAAAAAACCACAACAACCAACTTTTGAAAATATCGTTTATCCGGGCGCGAACGACAACAGCTCGCGGCGAGTGAAATTTTAAGAATGAGAGAGAAATTTTTTGTGTTTTCTTGTTTCGTTTCAAGCGCTTCGTTTCCATCTAGCATTGGGTTCGGTTGTTCGTTTCCCGTACGAAGTGAGCATAGCGCGCTTAAAAGCATGCAACATGAAACTGAATGCCATCAGGCCTGTTACATCGCTCTGTTAACGATTACATTTCCTCAATCTAACATAGCTGAAGCGGGGATTCACGTCTGATTGGATTATTAGCTTAGGAATACTCAAAATGGTACTGTTAAGCTGAAATTTTAAAATACATGCAATCAATATACGTACATTTTACAGTTTTACAAAATACACATGAACATGACAATTGTAATCCAAATTTCATCATAATATATAATATAAAAATAAACCAAAAACGAACACTTACAAACTGTTAACTCATAAACGAGCTAAGCAGCTACATTTCGAAAACATTTCATTGAGCACTTTCGTTAAGCTCTGGTATACTTACAAACGCGGTTTGTGTCGCGGCTAAGCTTTAGAGTGTGCACAATTCGGCTAAATATTAGGATATCAGTTTCAACAGTGCAGCCCTAGTTAGAAATATGGTCACATTTTATTTTAGGTACAGCACAGAGTCGATATTAAGCGCCCAATATTAACTTGAAAAAATGAATTAATATATGTTTGCTCTAAAAAACTATAATATATAAATGAATGTAAAAAAAAATAAGAACATATGGCTTAAATGCACTTATCTGTTCTGCAAGTCAAAAATTTCTGTATATCATAACTTTTAAATAAAATAAATCGTTTTTACAATAATGCGCCTGTTCACAAAGTAATTTTAAATCCGCAAATTCATTTGATTATTATTTAATTTAAGTAATAAAAAATAGTAATCAAATAAAAATTTGAGGGCAAAATCTGGCTGATTGTTAATGTTTCTTTTTGTTGTTATTATTATGCGTCGCAATTGTAAATCATCGATAGGACTTGCGGCGCAAGATTAGTCGATATATCGAAATATCGCTGACACGATGCGCTTAACTTCCCCAACGTGGAACAGTTTATGGCGATACTTCGACGCTCTTGGTTGGTAAGCAGCTAGACGGGTAAATATAGAAGCCACGTGTTCTGACCTTTCCATGTGATCAACTAAAGAACTCATTAAGCGCCTTCCTCCCCCTAAAAAGTTAGCTCGCTATCAAGCTGTCTGTTCGCATGAATGAAATTTATTAAATAGGTATATGCTCGTCAAAAATGTACCAAATCGGATATAAACGAATTTGGCTGCTGTTGTTGTTGGGTTACCATGTTTTCTACCTTCCCCGGCATTTGAACCAAAAAAGTATGTATTGAATGTATAAATATATATATGCATATACATATATATATATATATATATATTGGCATATTTCCCACAGTTTGCTAAGTCAACTAATTTAGTTGGTTGCATCGCCGTCAACAAAGATTAGTTCAAAATTATTTACTCACTGAATCATGTACAATGGTCGCTCGCAAATTTGAGCATTTAATGCGCATAAAATAAAAAAGAAGGCAAATAACGCATTAGAAATGTTTGACGGCAAAAGCAATATATTTAAAGTTGGCAACTCATAACAAATGTTTGAAAATAGTCTGAACTTGAAAACAAATTTATATATCCGATTTTATACTTTGATATCATACTTTGGTATAATTGTATATTGGTTATGTGCAATGTCGTCGCATGCTGTCTGTCCGTCTGTCCGTCTGACATCCTTAGAGCTAGAGACATGCAACGTTTTTTTTAGGGATATAGTCGTCAAATTTGATGGTTAGCTTGTTGGCGATGTCCTTCAAGGGTCGCCCAAATTGTAAGCTAAACTCACTCAATTTGAAAGGTATATATGAGCCTATAGCTCTCTCGCAATTTAGGAACTTTAGTTGTAGATATTCGTAATTTTGTAATTTAAGTGCTATTGTTACCAAACTTGGAAGGAAGGTTATTAAAAAACTGTGCCAACATTAAAAAAAAAAAAAAAAAAAACTTGTGCGATAAATGACTAAAAATCTCGTTCAAAGATGGGCCTGCAGATGATGCTATCAAAGTATTTCGCAGTCGTTTATACAAGAATGCAACGTTCTCTCTTGTTTATCTTTATATAAAAAGACGAAAAATGTGCTCAAAAATGGGGAAATGACGTTAAAAATATATGAAACAATCGTGACTCGAATTTTGGCACAACACACTTTTAATTTACCCAAATATTTTCCAATTATTTTCAATTCTTACGGTTGAAAATTCGATTCAAATTGCTGGATGCAACTAGTTCTTAATCATTTTGATTTTTGTTCTGTTTTTGTTTTCTTTTGATGATTTTTGATTTTCCGCCTTTTTGTATTCTAGGCACGTGATTGGCAATTGCAGTTTAACGGTTTTTAATTGGACGAAGCAACAGCAACAAGGCATACGACAAACAAATAATAATAATAATAACAGTAACAGTAACAGTAACAGTAACAGTAAAAAGAGCAATAAGAACCAGGCACAGCACATTGGTTTATTTGCGTTTGACTTTTTGAGCTCATAAATTGCGGTTGTTGTTGTTGTTGTTATTATTATTGTTGTTGTTGTTGTTGTTGCTGACGTTCGACCTCGATCGCTCCTAAGGTGAACGCTCTCGCTCGCTCGCATGGCAAACAGCAGCGCAGCCGCCGACGTTGACGTCGCCTCCAACAACCTGAAACCAAAAGTCAACGGGTTAATGGCCAACGGTGCCGGCGATGCCCAACCGAAACCGGAAACGGACCAGCTCCTCCAGGACGGACTCAGCTGCAAGGAGCTATTCACGAATGGCGACGGTCTCACCTACAAGTAAGTGAAGGATGCCGGATCTTATCACGGATCATTTTAAGTTCCCCACTCGAGTTCAATCCTCAATCCTCAAGCAGAGACAACTCCATCTCTTCCATCTATGGTATAAACAATCTTGACTAGTTGGCAGCATTTAATCAAGATTTTGAAATCTCAGTTTGCCATTTTACGTATTTGTTATTATGATTAAATTATTGAGCTCTTCAGGTGTCTCAAATGTTTAAATGGATTATATAATTATTATTATATGTTTTTTGTAATGATTTAATTGTAATTATAATTATATACTAAATAAGTTCATGGCTGAATTTACTAATATTATTGAATACTGTGACATTTACATAATTCCCTCTCTCCCCCTCCCTGTCCCACTCTGCCCTTTACATATGCGGCACACATTGTTGTTCTCATGTTACCAACCCGATCTTGCCACATTAGCGATTTCCTCATATTACCCGGCTTCATCAACTTTTCCGCCGAGGAAGTCGATCTCAGCTCGCCGCTAACCAAAGGCATCTCGTTGCGTGCTCCGCTCGTCAGTTCGCCCATGGACACCGTAACCGAATCCGAGATGGCCATAGCCATGGCGGTAGGTATCATAAAACTAAGCAGGCAACCAACTAACCAGCTAACCAAACCAAAACCAACAAGCCAACATCATCATCATCGTCATCGTCATCATCAAAATACTTGAAACTCTGTGAAAAACTGTGAAATTTTCATTTTGATTGTTTTCTTTTCATTTTCATTGTTTTGCGGTTTTTTTTTTTTTTTTTGTAAACCGTAATCGGAAACCCTTTCAAAGTCTTTACAACAATCAACGCGATCTTCAAAGAATTATCATCTGTGTGTTGACCCAATTAACATTTTAATATTTATTTGAAGACATTTTGTTTTTCTTATTATTTGCGCCGAATTATCTAATCGAGTCTTGAAAAATAGATATATTGAACATATAACCTTGTCGAGCCTAGTAATATTTTCAAGTAGATATCTCCGAACTCATAAACTATATATATATACATATATATATTCTAGATCAGCATCAATAGTCGTCTGCTTTGTTGAAACTTGGCATATATCCGATTCCTATTACTACCAGGAGACAGCCAGATCGGTTAAACCATTTGATATAGCTGCATAGCATAGGAAGAATCAGTCGAAAGATGACTTGCTGAAAAAACATTTTTCTTGAGATCGTATATATATATATATATAATTAATTTATAGGTAAATTTAGGCGGAAATAGATTCAGGTTAAATGTGTGCGTCAGTTAAAAATCTATGCAGTTCCTTCGTCTGTTTGTCAGTTTGGATATATATATATATATATATATGTATATATATCTATGGATAGATGTATGTACATGCTTTTCATGCTGTAAATGTCAGATTAACATTGCCATGAACATTGTTCATTAACCAACACCGTCGAAAATAGCGAGATAAGCGGACAACCGATAAACGATAAGCGATAACGATTAACAACAAATAGCCGATCGATGCACATCGCCAGCCTTGGTGCTCTAATACATACACATATGATATTGATTGATTGATGTTGATATTGATATTGATTTTGTTTGGTATCGCTGCCGCTCCAGTTGTGGTTGTAATTGAACACTCTTATGCGCCTCTATAATCGCTATAATTATTTTCCCTCGCACGCCGCCACCGCCGGATGAACAAAAAAACAAAAAACAATAAACAAAAAAACAATAAAATGATGGGATCCACGCGCAGCTGTGTGGTGGCATTGGGATCATCCATCACAACTGCACGCCGGAGTATCAAGCGTTGGAGGTGCACAAGGTTAAGAAATACAAACATGGCTTTATGCGTGATCCGTCGGTGATGTCGCCGTCAAATACCGTTGGCGATGTGCTCGAGGCACGGCGCAAGAACGGCTTCACCGGTTACCCGGTCACCGAGAATGGCAAGCTCGGTGGCAAGCTGCTCGGCATGGTCACGTCCCGTGACATCGATTTCCGTGAACACCAACCGGAGATACTGCTCGCCGACATCATGACCACCCAACTGATAACCGCACCCAATGGCATCACTCTGCCGATGGCGAACGCCATACTGGAGAAGAGCAAGAAGGGCAAGCTGCCGATTGTCAATCAGGATGGCGAACTGGTCGCAATGATAGCGCGCACCGATTTGAAGAAGGCACGCTCCTATCCAAATGCATCCAAGGATTCCAATAAGCAGCTGCTTGTCGGCGCCGCAATTGGTACGCGCCATGAGGACAAGGCACGGCTCCATCTGCTCGTCGCGAACGGTGTCGATGTCATCATATTGGACTCATCGCAGGGCAATTCCATTTATCAGGTCGAGATGATCAAGTTCATCAAAGAGACGTATCCCGATCTGCAGGTCATTGGCGGCAATGGTAACTAACCCCTCCCTCCCCCACCCACAAAAACTACATGTCGCAATAATAGTTCCCAATACATATATATATATATATATATAGAAATTGTTCTTTTCCCTTTAAAGTACAGCAAAAGAATTGAATAATTAATTTTGCTTAAAGTGAGTAATTAGAATTTGAATTTGGAATTGGAATTGGAATTTTACAAAAACAGTTCCTAGTAAAATATTTGTACTGAGACTTTATGTATATATATGTATATATATATTCTTGATTTGGAACTATTATTCGAGATCATAGCATGCTTTTATACCCAAGTTGTACTAACACACACTCGCACACACACACACACTCACACATTGCTTGCTCTCGTTGCTCCTCGTGTGGCAGTTGTGACACGCGCCCAGGCCAAGAATCTCATCGATGCGGGCGTGGATGGTCTGCGCGTAGGCATGGGCTCCGGCTCCATTTGCATCACACAGGAGGTGATGGCCTGCGGCTGTCCACAGGCGACGGCCGTCTACCAGGTGTCCACATTTGCCAAACAGTTCGGTGTGCCGGTTATTGCCGATGGTGGCATCCAATCGATTGGACATATTGTTAAGGCATTGGCGCTGGGCGCCAGCGCTGTGATGATGGGCTCTCTGCTCGCTGGCACCTCGGAGGCGCCCGGTGAGTATTTCTTTTCGGACGGGGTCCGCTTGAAGAAATATCGTGGCATGGGCTCGTTGGAGGCAATGGAGCGTGGCGATGCCAAGGGCGCTGCAATGTCCCGTTACTATCACAATGAGATGGATAAAATGAAGGTCGCCCAGGGTGTCAGCGGCAGCATTGTCGACAAGGGATCCGTATTGCGCTATCTGCCGTATTTGGAATGCGGACTGCAGCACAGCTGCCAAGACATTGGCGCCAATTCGGTTAAAAAGCTCAGGTAAGTCATCGAGCCACTCCGCAACTGGCAACAAGCGACCAATATTCGCAACCAATATTCAATTTATTTCTATATATATATTTCTTTAATACAAAACAACTTCTATATTGAAGTCTGCGTCTGCGTCTGCGATCCCCCTTAAATTATATATATATGAAACGCTTACTTCTTGTTGTTAGCAAGCAAAACTGAATCGTTTTGCTTGACTGCTTTATAATAACTGAGTTGGAAAACTTTAGCCAATCATAGTTAAGCGTCGGACTACTGACTCTGCTGATATCTTGGTGTCGTTGTCGCTTTGGTCTCTGCAGCTCTTGTCGCTGCTGCTTTGTCGCTGTTGTCCCATCTTGCTCACTCCCACGATGCTCGTCATGTGGAATTTGCTGACGAATATTTTGCAGGCTGTGTCCGCCGACGAAGCTGAACTATGCTGACGATAATTGATTCTGGGTACTTGCCGCCGAGTCGTCCAATGCCGACGAGGCATCTATATTCTATTATTCTAGCTTGTTGTTAGCTCAAGTTACTTGTTTCGATAGTGCTTAACTTAAACATTTATATTCTTGATCTGTCCTATGCAGAGACCTTAAATGTTCAATACACCTTCTCTGCCTTGACATATTCGTGATCAATTGAACAAATATAAAGATCCACACACATTCAATATGTATATATAATAATTTCTATATGGCTGAAATCAGTCTTTCAATCGACTCGATTTATATTTAACAAACGGATTCAGGGTATACAGCTAGTCGAGCATATTCTTACTTGTCTTACGATTGAGTCAACTGATTTAATTTTGTTGCTTTTCGCATTTGCAGAGTGATGATCTACAATGGAGAGCTGCGCTTCATGAAGCGCACTCACTCGGCCCAGCAGGAGGGCAATGTTCACGGTCTGTTTAGCTATGAGAAGCGTCTCTTCTAACATACAACTAGCGCTGCAGCGCCGTCAGCTGCCAGCGCGGTTGGCCAACAACAACAACAGCGGCGGCAACATCAATCAACAGCACAACAACAGCAGCAACAACATCAGCAGCAGCAGCAGCAGCAGCACCAGCAGCAGCACCACCACCAGCATCAGCATCGACGGCAACAGCAACATGATCAATCGCATACCCGTGTGCAATATCTTGTTTATCCAACGGGGCACGATTTGAGCGTTAAGCGGCACATGTGACATGTTTACCCCGGATGCGGACATCTATCTTTTCCACGTTTTATTTAGTTCTTAAGAGCCCTTCTATCTATTAGGCTAAGTGCACCTAAGCACGTTTAACCCACTGTCGAATCTATTTGTCGAATCTAAAGCAAAAGGAGTCTACTTGCAACAACAATGTACTTACACACACACATATACATACATACATATTCTGTATATATATATATATATATATATACATATATATGCTATATTTGCCAAACTTAAATTGTACAAGAAAATACCTTGAAGTTATTTTGCGTGCTGTTCAAAACAAAAACGTATCAAAAATTTTTAGAGGCACGTTCATTCCCCGCAAATGATTTCCTTTATTTCTTTTTCCAATACATATATACACCTGATTGTTGATTTGTTTATATATATGTATATATACATTTTTTATATATTTATATAATTAATTTATAGGTAAATTTAGGCGGAAATAGATTCAGGTTAAATGTGTGCGTCAGTTAAAAATCTATGCAGTTCCTTCGTCTGTTTGTCAGTTTGGATATATATATATATATATATATGTATATATATCTATGGATAGATGTATGTACATGCTTTTCATGCTGTAAATGTCAGATTAACATTGCCGTCGTGCTGTGCACCTGCAAAATAACAACAAAAAAACCAATTAAAGACTTGACTTGACTTGACTTGACTTGACTTGACTTGACTTGGCTTGACTTGACTTGACTTGACTTGACTTGGCTTGACTTGGCTTGACTTGACTGACTTGGATACTTTTTATATACTTTTTGTATATCATGTCCAAAATACAATATATTCATTTTGTAAGCATAACTAAGACTTTGTTTCTTAATGAAAATCGGACAACTTGCTTAATTTGTTTGGCATATTTCATAGTTAAAGTGGCATGCAATTAAGAAAACTTTAGTTGCAAGTGGTAAGATTTGAATGTATTCATTATATAAAATGGGCTAAGGACATCACTACAGTGCCAAGGATATAAGACAGAGTGTTAGCAATAAGATCAAGGAATTGCAACTGGTCAGTCTCGAAACTTTCTTTACTGCATTTAAATGCACTTAAGTCGGAGCAATCAATAATTGTCTGGTGTTATTCTATTTGATTAAACCAGGTGTGTCCAGGTGTGTCCAGGTGTGTCCTGGTGTGTCCAGGTATGTCCTGGTGTGTCCAGGTGTGTCCAGGTGTGTCCAGGTGTGTCCAGGTCTGTCCAGGTCTGTCCTGGTGTGTCCTGGTGTGTCCAGGTGTGACCTGGTGTATGTATCCTATATCCCCTGCCTTTTGACCCAACCTTTGTGCATGAATTGCATATGCTGATTGACACGACTACGACTTACTGTGGAGAGGCAAACTTTGGCGGCACCGAGAAAATCATGTCCATACTTATCATCATCGAACAGCGCCACGTAGAGCAGCGAATTGCCCAGCTCCTCGGGCTCGACGCCAACAAATTGTAGCGTCTCATTGAAGTCCGGATTGCGGGTCTTGTGCACAGTTTTGGTGCGCTGCCAACGCGTATATTTCGTATGTCCCTCGGGCGTTACGATATTGAGCTTGCAATAGGGATCGGCCAGACCGGCTGCATCCATTGCGGGCAGATCGCGGGCGCGCACCATTGTACAATCCAGACTGTGGTAGCTCTCCCGATAGCTAATCGCAATCTCCAGCCAGCCCAGCAGTGGATCACGGCAGTGTTGTTGCTGCTGCTGCTGTTGATGTTGCTGCTGTTGATGTTGCTGCTGTTCTTGTTTTTGTTGCTGCTGCTGCTGCTGCTGCTGTTGTTGTTGTTGTTGTGTGGCCGAGTTGCCAGAACCGGAACTATCGCTGAACGACCACGATGAGCTGACCGAGCCGCGACGCAACAGAAAGCTGCTCTCGCGTCGCAGCTGGGCGACAGTGGATGCATTCGAGATGCTAACGGTGTCATAGCCATCCAGGCACTGTGAATGCCTCGGCGTCGTCGTCATCGTCGTCATCGTTGTCATCGTCGTCGTCGTCGGTGGTCGACCAAAAAAGAATGAGTTCGACAGCTTCCGTTCGCCGCCGTCGATGAAGCTGCGTATGGAGCCGTAGGCACGCAAACGGAAACTTTCATCACGCTGCAGTCGTTGTTGTTGTTGGTGTTGTTGTTGCTGTTGGTGTTGCTGTTGGTGTTGGTGTTGTTGAGACGATGGCGATGTTGCTGATGATGGCATTTTGCCCGTTACACCATCGAGCTCATCCTCCGGCTCGGAATGTGCACTGCCACCGGAATGGCTGCTGTTGCTGCCACTGCTGCTGGTGTCATCGTTGACGCGGATCGTTAGCTTCTTGATGCGTGCGGCACGCGTCGGTGTGCCGTGGCAACTCTGTACGGCCCGGCCGCAGCCGACTGGTGTCGATGTGGGCGTGGCAGTGGCACTGCGCGGCATATCATAGTTGGGCAGACCTTTGAAGAACCAGGCGCCCGACTTCTTCCACATCTCGCGCGTCTCCGAACAGATGCGACACAGCCAAATCTCGCGGGTCCGCTCGCTGTTGTGATACCGTATATTGATATCGACGCTGCACTTGGCGCAGACAGACTTGCGGCAATCCTCGCAGAGGATGCGCTGCGGCCGCAGCAGGCCAAAGGCATCGCCGCACAGTCGGCAACAGTTTGGACCGCGCTCGACGGCATGCAGCTTGATCTTCTCGACACGCTCGACAAGTCGGCCGACCCGCTGCCGCTCCGCTATCTCGATCTCCTCGTTCCGCCGGATCACCGATATGATGGCCTCCTGCTCGTCGGGCCGCAAGGGTTCGTTGGTCTTTGAGCTGCTCCAGCCGGCTTTCAATCTGCAAGCCAAGTGTAAGCAATCCGTTAGTGCGTGAATAATTACTATATATATATAGACCCTATAAGCCCATAACTCATTAAGCGGGTATATTCGCTAACAATATTCTAATAATCTAATGTTTTAATTTAGTCAGATTTGAACACAAAAACAAACAAACTGCTGCTAAAACTATTCTAAATAAACAATTAAAACGTTAAAGTTCGTCGAAGTATTTGTGTAAAACTCAATTCAAGCTTGGATAACTTTTGCTTAATTTAACAACAGTCTGCTCGAAATTGAAGCACAAATTAAGCCAATCATTTTTCAATCAATTTTCCCCCTCTTCAAGTGGGAGATAGGAAAAAGTCGACATCTCGAGACACCAAAATTCGATTGCTATTTTCATAACTAACTAAAGGGTGTCTGTCTAGTCTGGTGAGTGTGTGTGTTATGTGTGTGTGTGTGTGTGTATGTGTGTGTGTGTGAGGGTCGGTGTTTGCCGAGTGAGCGTAATTAGTGCTGGGCTACCTAATGCGGTATTCATGTTGTTTTCGTTGTAGCTGTTTTTGTTGTTGTTGTTGTTGTTGTTATTGTTGGGGCATAGCCTCAGCCTCAGTCCCAGGGCCAAAATGTCAAGTTCAAAGTTAATTAAGACGCAAAGGCGTCGGGGCTCAGGGTCAGACCGGGATTAGGACCGGGCTTGCGCGTTTTATAGCCACTTTGGAATCACTTACACATCGCATTTAAAACGCAACAGCTATACGGGTACACACACACACACACACATATATATATATATATATATATATATATATATATACTTGAGAGTAAATATGTATTTATGTAAACTAGAATGGAGCGTTTAATGGAAATTGTAGCTTAATTATAATCTAGCTTTTATATATATACTAGATTTAATAAAGCAAAACTGATCCATCAGCATTAATTTAAGCAGCAGCTAGAAAATAATTAATAAATAATACAATTGTATATTGTTTATACGAAATAAAGCCTTAACTATTCGGCTATTGGCAGCAATTGTTTGCGATGATAATCTTTTTGTGGGGCGCATAGCCTCTAACTTTAAAGCTGTACAAATCAAGTCCAGCCCATGTTCAAATTGACACGCACACATGCTACACACAGACACACACACACACACACGCCACACACACACACACATACACACACACACACACACACACACACAGACACTTGAACAGTTTAGCATGCAACGTGCTCGTTGAATGTTTATGTTACGCTTACTGCTTGTGTTCGTTCGCATTCCTGGTTTCATTGCCTTGCCCGGGGTTTATTGACATGCAAAAACTGTCTGAATGTAACACACACACACACACGCTACACACACACACACACATTTGATAAACTGAGCCACAGTTGAAGCGCCTTTTGTTTTTGTTGATTGAGAAAAGTAAGAAAAACTTGTCCAATATTGCTGACAACATCATCAATAGTATTGACTCAGTTCATTATAGCCAATGCGCACTGTAGCCTTCGCTCCAGCGTCGCCTGTTGCCTTGAGCACTTCCGGCTTCAGTTTGGGTCTCAGCTGCTGCTTGTTGTTGCCATTGTTCTTTGCAAATGGAGTCAATTTCACATTGCCAGCATTGCACGCGTCGATGGCAACTTGCAACAAACAAATTTGTGAAAAGCAGTTAGCAAATGAACTGTAAACTGTTAAACAAAGCATTTAACGAATGTGCAAACTGTTAACACTTCTAAAAACCAAAAACAAAACTAAAAAAAAAACTAGTTAATGCTGCTTGGGCTCATAACAACTGGCAATTGGCAATTGACAGGCGTCAATGAAATTAGTTAATGCATTTGAATACACATATAAGAAATGGCTGGAAAATGTGTGTTTGCAAATACAAATGCAATGAGAGGCGAGGCGAGGCGAGACGAGGCGCAACAGATAGATTGGCAAGGTCCAAAACGTAGCCAGCCAATTTAAATGGAGTCCTTCACACAGCTGCCACTGGCACTGCTGTGTTGCAATTTGAATTTCAAGTACACGCCTATCACACCACCCCCTGTCACCCCCCCATCCCCCCACCTTCGCCCAGCCACGCCCAACCAACTATTTATATTATATATACAGTGTGCATGCGTCACGCACAGCCGCATTGTTTCCATGCTGCTGCTGCTGTTGCTGCTGTTGCTGCTACTTTCGTTTCCTTCTCTATATATATATGTATGTATGTGTGCATGTATGTGTGTACTTGCTGCAAAAAAAAAGAAGGAAAAATGCGAGCGAACGGAAGTGTAAATTGAGCACTTTGAAACATGCTGCTGCCACACAGCTCCCAGCTGCCAGCCGCTGTGCCGCACGCTGTGCGTGTGTGCTTTGGGGATGCGGCATTATGCATAAAATGTGCGAGCCTCTCACACTGAGTGTGTGTGTGTGTTAGTGTGTGTGTGTGTGCGTGAGTGTGTGTGTGTGTGTGAGTACTTGTATTTAATGCTGCGTTAAGCCTCAATTCGCAGTCAGCTGGGATTGCGCCTCGCAGTATGCCACACGTTTTCCACTTTGATACAAACATATGCTACTAGCTTGTCTCTCTCCCTTTCTCTCTCTCTCTCTCTCTCTCTGTGTGTGTGTGTGTGCTGTATCAGCAGCACTCCCCCATACCCAGTCAGTCAGTCAGTCGCCGTCAATTGCAATAAATAAGCAAACACGTTTTTCTTTTCTTTTCTTTTGTTTTTGTTTTTTGTCTAAATAAAACAAAATTCGAGCATTATTAAAATTTAATTAAGCTGTCAGCGGCGTTGCGGCTCAGCGAGCGGGCATGTCAGCAATTATGATTAGACAGCGAGGACGAAGGACACCATGTGAGCTTTGCCTGGGTCCTTGACAGCTCCCCGGCAACTCCAGGGTCACTCACACACACTCACTCACACACTCACACACTCACAACACAACATTACAGTGGTCGGCATTTACATAAAATGCATTCCTCGAATAATTCTAAGCATTTTTCGAATGATTCCGTTTTGCAGCAGTTCAAAAATCGTATGCAATTAATCCATATAAATCACTAAGTTTTAAATATATTTTTCGCAACATGAAAATTGAATTTGGCAGAAATTGAAATTTCAGTTTTCGGAGTTCGCCTGCAAATCGCAAGCAATTTAAGTTGCTAGAAACTGTAACTATTTAAATAAAAAAAAAAAATACAAAATTAAATTAAGCACGCTTTTGCTAATTGTGAATACAATAAAACCATAATTAGCAAAGAATTAAATGAAAAAGTTGACAATTCCAATTTGATGGAAAGTGAAAAATGTGCGATGAGCGATCAGCGTTAAATGAAGCGTTCAGCTTAGCGGGCGACCACTGTAGCTCGCTCGCTCATTTCCTGAGTATGTGGATGTTTGATTAAGCTAATCACACACACACACATGCATATGCATATGTATATGTATATGCATATGTATGGAAGAGACAGCAAGGACTGACGCAGTCAAAGTTAATTAAATTATAACTAAAGCTTTGGGCGACACATACGCGACAGTTGGCATTGTTCTTGTTATTTGTTGTTGTTTTTAGCTTAGCGCTAACTGTTGCGCGCCGCCTTATCAGCGCAAGTAACAAAAGCAACAACAACAACAGCAACAACGGGAGCAACAACAGCAACAAGAAGAGCAGCCAGTTTCTGTTTATGACGCGCACAGCGCACACATTGTTTAAGTTTAGTCAATGCTAACGCTATTGTTTAACTTGCACACACACACACACACACACACACACACACACACACAAAGAGAGAGAGTCGCAGACTAACAGACTTTGAGCAGCCAGCCAATTGTTGCATTGACAAATTTAGATTGGTTAGTTTTTTGTTTTATTTTTTTTGTTGCTCCTTTTTGTACTTACTTGGCACGCAGGGCGAGCTGCCTGTCGCTGGGACAGACAAATTTGTTGGCCGTATTATTGCGATTCGCGAAATCCATCTTCTCACATTATATATATGTTTGCAACATTTTTATTTGCGATTGCAAACAGCAACAAAAACAAATGTAAAAGAAATATATATAAAAAAAAAACAACACACACACAACAAAAAACCGTTGCCTGCCAGCAGGCGCGCTTTCGTTAAAATGCTTGGGTTTGTTTATTCAAACTGTGGTTTAGCCGCATGCATGCATGCAAACGCCAAGAACAACAACAAAAACAGCAGCAGCAACAAAACAAAACACAACAGCAACAGCAATAGCAATAGCAACACCACAAGTAACAAGAAATAAATGCGAAAAACACGTCTAAATGCGCACGCAGCTGGTATGCGTCTATGGCTATGCTGCAGCCACAGTTGCCAGTTGCCCCATTCGCAGGCCGCAACGGCCGCTTGCGATGTTCCCAATTGCCGCCACAAACTATCGACAGCAAATTATCAAACATCGATTGTCGGCATACTGCATACGTTTATCGCCATCCTCTTTTCTACTTTAATTAATATTATTAACAAACATTGAAATCGACGATTTGATATTATTTAATTTCATATCATTTATTATGTGTAAAAATGCGAATATATTAACAACAGCATGCAATAATTGTAAGAAATAAATGCATTTAATATAAAAAAAATATTTTTATTTTTATCGTAATCGGTAAACTTATTACAAGCATTGTAATTTTAAATGTGTGTATGAATGCGATGTGTGCAGATCGATAACATAGGCATATCGATAACACGCGATTAGCAATTGCAACGGGACCAGTTAAGTTTGCCAGCCCAAAATGAAACACAATACGTGTAAAGGGGTCTGCTTTTACGGGCCAGTTGAGGCTGCGTTGGGGGTTGCTTTGGGGCCGCCATTCAACAAACATCTTCAGTTCCAATCCCTAGTTTCGTGCATATTTGCACACGCCGAGTCCAAAGCAAAGCCCGTTTGGGCAACAGTACTTGAGCCACTCTCTACCTCTCCCTCTCTCGCTCTCTCTCTATCTCCTCGCTCTCTCTCTGTGTGTGTCTCGCCTTCTCGCAGTCACTTTAGCTGTTTCCGGCTGGCATCTCATATTCCACACACTTTCATTGCATACTTTTGAGCGTGGACAGAAATGCCAGCTTTGTTGACTACTGGCTGACGACGGGTAACGGGTAGATTAGGGATGAAGACTTAGTTCGTTTTGGCGACATAGCAGCTCAATTGTTATTGTGGTTGTTGTTGTTGTTATTGTGCAAAAGCGTCAATGTCCTTGCCTTGCCAAACACGTAGCAACCACAGTCATTGTCCTGTGCAGTGTTGCCATCTTTAAGCGAGCAAAAATTGACTAGTTTTTCGAACAGAAAAAAGCCAGAATCAAAATGTGAAAAAAGCTAACAACAACAAATTGGTTCTGCTTGCTATTTTTGAATGTTTACATTCTTAGTTCAAGACTGGCAGTTGCACTTTAATTGTTAAACAAAACAAGAAAAAACGGCAAAGAATAAGTAATTAAAATTAGTTAATGATCGCCTTAAAAAAAAACAGCTGGATTTGGCGGGCAAAAAATAAACGAGCCATGTCAACACTGTCTGGGTGTGGCCAGTGCGCGCCTTCTGTGCATTTAAACGGAATTTATGCGCGGGGCCTCCAATAGCCAACACCCAGCACTCAACGGACAACTGACAACAAAGAGAAACCTGTATGCGCTTTTCTGGGATCACACCATACATTATCCTTTGACACTTGACATGTGTGCGTGTGCGAGTGTGTGTCTATGTGTGAACGTTCATTTTAAATAAATGCTGACAGCTAAATGAAGATATTTAATGTACGTGCCAAAGTTTCTTTTGCACACACACACGGAGACATTTCGCACGTCCAGCACGCTCGTAGACCACCTACACATGTCCATCTACCACTTTCCTGTCCTCTTCTTGTTGACATTGTGCTTGTTAGTTGTTGCTGTTGCCGTTGGTTGCTGGTTGTGTGTTTTGAATTTGGCATTCGCAGCGCGTTCTCGCCACAGTCGCAGTCGGCATAATAATAAATAGAAAAAAATACGAAACGACAAGTGCGACGCCAGCAGCGTCAGAGGCAATTGTCCTTCGGATAAACTGTCAGCATCTAAAACACTTCAAGCCTCAAGCTTTTCAACTTAATGAGTTAGGACTGTGATAGGCCGAGTCCACTTTCTGCCACCATTAAATTGCATGAATGCCAAATCAATTATCTGGTATGGCTTCAGTTCGCATAAATATTGCCAGTTATTGCAGTTACTGCCTTCTTGCCTAGGTAAGGACTGCAGTTAAAAATCCAAATTTGTTGATGTTGAACAAATTATAATTTCGCTTCCAAATGCAAATGATATATACAAATTTAAGTTTTAGGAGGGGTTAGGTTTTACAAACGTACAGCTTTTTATACATAAATCAAAATATATATATAACAATTGTAAATATGCGGTAATGCGAGACCATCCATGCTAGGAAATAAATACTTTTGTATTTGTTTTTTGTTTTTTTGTCTTTGGGTCATCCATCATTAGGCATCGACAAAGAGGCAACAAACAGCCCATTTCTGTGCACAATACAAAAAGTGTTTGCTTTATATTTATATATTCGTAATTCCGTTTATTTTTCAGCATTTAGTTTCTTTCAGTTTGTTTTCTATTATCAATGTCTTTGTTTATCTTAAAGCAAATTTCTACTACACAACAAATTGCGTTTTGTTATTGCATTATCTCATTCTAGAAACGCAAAATATATCAAATAAATTACATAATCAAGGGTGCAACAAACAAAAATAAAACAATAATAATAATATATAAAAAAAAAAAGAAAAGTTCAACCGAATAGTTTCAGTTAATTTTTGAATTTTGTATTTTATATATTAATTTTACGTTTTTTAACTAGTCTATTCTAGGTTTCCACTACGGTCATTCCAAGCGTAGCATTATAGCTATCTCTCTCTCTCTCTCTATCTCACTCTCTCTCTCTATCTCACTCTCTCTCTCTCTCTCTATCTCACTCTCTCTCTCTCTCTCTATCTCTCTTACTCTTTCAATCGCTAGCACAAACAATATGTGTACTTGTACAAAATAAATCAGTATTTTTATATAGCATAATTTTAACTTATAACTCGACTCGATTCAGAATTTAAAATTAAAGTAAAGACCCCCAAAAATTAAAGAAATCAAAAACTTTTGTAAAAATTTGACTAACACAAACGCAAAAAATTTAAAAACAAAGGAATTTTGCAAAGTGGGCGTGGCAGTTGATGCCTATTCGCGCAGCGCTTTCTGCTTGTTATGTTTCTTCATGCCGCCGCCACTGACTGTGGGCGTGGCAGGTGCCGGCACTGCCACATTGCGGTGTTTCTTGTGCAGCCGCTTGTGATAGCTCTGTGCGAGCGAATTGACAATGGAGACAACGAAATAGCAGACCATGCCAATGACAAAGGTCTCAAAGATCTTGGAGATTAGATTGCCGGAATCGGCACCAGCGCCAGCATTGGCATTGCGTCCGCGCTGCTGTCGATGCAATCGCTGCTTCTGATTCTCGAGGAATGCCTTAAACGGCTGCTGCAGCTTCCGGCCAAAAACCGGCACCGTTGCGAGAAGATCGACGGCGCGCTCGATGAGCGTCTCATTGAACGCAATGATCACAAAGATCTTCTGTATATGCATCTTGATGATCGCTTTGCCAATTAGTGTGGCGCCAAAGAACGTCCAGAATGGCACCAGGAAATGTCCGCAAGTGATGCCCGCCAAATCGAACAGTGGATTGGGAATCTGCACAGACAATTTCAATTAGAATTCGGATTCAAAAATAAAAACTCTTTTGCAGAGATCATGTTGATCTCTACAGGACAAGAGCAAAATGGACATACGCTTGCACAGGCCAATATGCCAAAGAAGCCGACACGCTCGACGACGCGCTCCATGAACAGCTTGCCCTTGTCCATCAGGCTGAGGTTCTTCTGATGCCGCTTGGCATTGAGTGCCTCAAACTCGGCCAACTCCTCGGCATCGTCCGGATCGTAGCCGGACAAACGTGCCGCCTTGGCCATAAAATACGGCGGCAGTTCACCGAGGGCGGTGCCAGCGCCCCAAAGGAATGCCTCCAGACGCACCTTTGACATGATCGACCAGATGTTCGGCATGCGCTTCAAATACGGCTCCTCCGGACAGATGATGCTGTTCATAATAAGTCACACATTACACACATATAGATATATAGAGAAGATATAGTACATAAGTTATGCTCGTACAATGATCGCTCGCAAATTGAAATTCATTCCTCAAAAGTTAATTATGATAAATTACATAGACTATATAATTAAACATAGAGTGTGCTCGACTAGCAGATACCTCGCCTGCAGTCATTTTTAGCTTGGTATAGAATATATATTTTTTTCGTTTTCCTCAAATTTCTTGAGAGTTATTAGCGAGCGATCACTGTACTGTGCCTGAGATTATCAAGATTTGATTTTGTGATTATTCACTCACTCGTCGGGATAGGGTGGCTGTGGAAAGTCAAGTGAATTGCACTCGTAGCCGGCGAGTGTGACGCTGGCTATATGCGGTCCCAGATACAATAGAAACGTATGCAGCCCGGTGCCGAGGCCAACAGATGAGAGGACGCCGAGTCCGAGCCAGTAGACAAAGAACCAGGTGTTCCGACGCACCAGCTCAATGATCAGCTGATGGGGTCCATCAATTTTGTAAATTATGCTAAATACAATACCTATTACTATTAACACAGCCAGCATGCTGCGTTGCTTCATTAAACTGAAACAGAGAGCGACAAAGACAAAAATGATTTAGTTGATGCTGTAGATTATGTGGTGGTTGTGGTTGCCTCACCTGCTGCTCCATGAGCGGAGCAGTGCAATCAGTTCGAGTGCACAATATTTGGACGTTTGCATGGGTCGACGCCAGAGGACGAGCTGTGCACGCTCGATCCGCTCTTTGTCCTTTTGCTGTTTATCCTTTTTGCTTAACTGCATTCTATGGCTGCCGCCGCTGTTCGGCTTCGTGTGTGTCTGCAATTTGTTGCTGTTGCTGCTGTTGTTGCTGCTGCTAAATGAGGTGTTGCTGTTGCTGCTGTTGCTGTTGGTGTTGGTATTGCTGCTGTTGCCCTTGGTAGCGCTACCATTGGGCGACAGTTTTTTTTGGCTCTTGTTGCTGCCGATGCTGCTGTTGTTGCTGTTGCTGTTGATGTTGCCTTCGTCCTGCTGCTGCTGCTGCTTGCGCTGGCGTGTGCTACTCGCATGGCTGACTGTGTCCTTTTTGTTGTGTTGTGACATTTAAGCGACTTTTTGTATGGCCTCAAGCAGCTACTAAATGATTAATACCGAATTTCAATAAATTAAATTATAATTAAAAGTGTGCCCGACGAACAGATGCCCTGTATCGCACTTGTTTATAACAAAAAAGTTGCACAAATCAACAAATAATAAATATAAAAAAATATATATTTTTGTCATAATTAAAAATGTTGGTTAATTTTAAACATGGTTTGCAGCAACTTTTAAAGCCTAGAAAACACAACGGTGACTGGTAGTGGCTAATTTAATTCTATAAACAATTTGTACTGAAATATTTATTTATTTAATACAGCAGCAGCCGCAATAAGCAACTATATATTTTTATTTTTTATTTACTTATGAATATTTTTCGTGCTGGTAGATATTTGAATATTAAATATTGAGTTGTGCCTCTTTAGTGAAATGTGTGCGATATATGTATATATATATATATATATATATATATATATATACATATATCGCACATATATATATATTTAGACAATCCTTAAATAACTTCTGTGGCCTTAAAATGTATGAGTGAGTGCCAAATTGCACAGATCATATTTTTATCGATCATTTGCAGTTTTTCTATCTCTATCAATATCTACTTTTTTATTGCAATTCAACAATTTATTAACCAAATTGTTGCCACTATATCATTATAATCGCCTTCATTAATTACCCATACTGTGTAGGCATTAGATTTTTCTACAAAATTTTAAAGTGTACTCAATAGTTGGTGTGAATTAAATATATATTTCTACCTTGCCGACCTTTATTAGTTTGGTGGCATTTGCTACAATTTGGGTGCTAGTTGGCAACGCAGCAACTAAAAATATGCACGTATGTGTGCGTGCGTGTGTGTGAGTGTGTGGTGTGCGCGGGAAAAGCACAACAACGGATTATCATACGATACTTAAGCACCAATAAAATGAATCCACATAGCAGAACACACACACGTGTAAGTCTGATCACACACATACATACATATGTGGAGGTTCTGTAAAGCGTAGCAGAAAACGACAAGAACAACAACAACAGCAAGAACATGCTGATCAGTAACAAAAAAATGGACATTAACATTTTAATTTCACTTGTCATAACGGCGTCGTGGTACACACATAAATGCACAAAAGCGTGTGACAAGAGGCTGCGTGTTACTATAGCAGCGGGTACGGATGGGAGGCTGGTATGGAGGTCGTCGTTTACGATGGCTGCTGCTGATTCTGCTTAATCAGCTGTTTGAGTTTTGTTGTTGCCCTGCTACAGTCCCAACCAGTGCTGCCAGTTCCCATTTTGTTCGCTGTGAAATCTAACTTTTTGCAACGTACGATTACAAAGACAATTTTTAACATAAGTTAGCTTTCTTATCATGATAAAGAGTACAAGATTATGAATTGGCCAGTAAAAGTATGAATTTTTGTAAAATCAGCTTTTTTTTATGCTCGTTGAAAGTTGGCAGCACTAGTTTTAGTATCACCATGCACCACGTATGTTTGGAAGTGTATATATGTAAATGTTAATTAAATAAAACCGTGTGACCACAGTTTATGAAAGTTTCCTTGGCAGGCAAGAACCGAGACTGTAAAAGTAACCACTGCTGCATTTGTGCCGTTAAGTCTGTGCTGATGTTTTTCTCTGATGGGGGTGGCAAATGGCGCACTGACAGCAAAACCAATTTACCAATATACCAATACGAAATAACAACAAAGCGAACTTAAAAGCGACGACAAAGAATAAATGCGTCACACAAAACAGCTCGAAACAAAAATCAATTGTAATTGCTCTCGTTGCACTCGTTGGCTGCTATGACAACAATAATAATAATAATTATCTGAATACAATCTATTTACTTATGTGACACAAGCTGTACTTGGCACCGACAACAATAGCAACAGCAACAAAAAACACAAGCACTTCTTGATTTTTGCGCCTGTTTTGTAACTGTGGGCGGCCGAGAATTTATCGCCTTGTTAACCCGGAAAAAACACGCCGTTTTTATTTTACCTGATTTGTGTTCTTAGGTTTTTTTTTTAGCAAATCCGTGCACGTTATCGCTCTTTGGCCAGCCGTTCGCTTGCACTTTGAGTAATTGATTCTTTTCACATAAAACTAAGGACTTAACTACGAATAAGAATGTGCAAAGCCTACCTACTGCCTGCATAAAAAAAACACGTCTAAACTTCGGCTAAACAACAGTCGACGATGTTAATATGCCATGCTCAAAATGGTAATGTTATTGGCACAACCTTTGTTATTAAAAACAACTGTTAACGCGCTGTTGAGCTTTAAAATAACATGTCAATTACAGAAATATGGTCTCACTCGTATTCAAAAAGCAGTGTTGCTAACTTGCACAGGGCTGCCCTCAATAGTGCGTTAACATCGATTTTTAATTTTGAGATATATCGAGAACCAAACAAAAAAAATATATAATTTGAAATACTTTCTGGAAAGATGGAAAATTCAAATCCAAATGTATGTATTTATAAAAACATACGTGGCCTTTACGGTGTGAATTTTCACTTTCCCCGATCGCAAATTCAAGACCCAATGTCATGACGTGTTCATTACGAGCCTTAAGAAAATAAAATTAAGCAATTTTATTTTGGTTTTTTGTTTTTTTTTTTGACAAGTTATCCAACTTTTGTATATCTTTTTTTGTATTTATTTAATTAATAGTAGATTAATTACTGTACGCTTAACCAAGAGTGTCCTAATTGTAACCATACACACTAAATATGCACAACATTTTGTTGTATTATTACAAAAAAAAAAAGAAGAAAGATATTGAAGTACCTCACAAAAATTTGAAAATTGCACGGTACGCAGCTATGGCAAAAGAGTAAAATGAACAAAATGGTGCCAAGTAAATATTGTTAAAGCATAGGTAATCTGAAATACTAGCGCGTATAGAAAATGTTTATATAAAATAATTTTCACATAACATTTGTTTTTGTCCTATAATTTTTTTCGTTCTCATTTTCTATAGACAATTTTAAGTTGTTTTTGTGGGTTTTTGATTTTTTTTTTGTCAATAGTTTACCACCTTAGACCTGCACAATTTGTTTAGCTATCGTTCTTTTTGTGTTTTTTTTTTTTTTTTTCTGTTTTTGTTTTTTGTTTGCATTATATGTTAAACTGCATGCTAAACGTAAAATGTATGTATATTTATATATATATATATATATATATATATATAAAGAATTTTCTGTATAGGTTTTGTTGTTGCATGGTTTGCCGCACAATAGGGAGAGATGCAGTCGATTTTTACTTATCCATTCCATAGACATTCTCATCGGAGTAGGCTATGTACAGGAAATAATCCTCCTCGTGATGCTCCTGGAAAGGGGTAGAGATATGAGTGAGTTTAGATTTTTATTTTAGTTGTTATTAGATAATACCTGGTACAATGAGCCCATTGTTGCCGATGTTGGGGGAATGACATTGTTGACGAAAAAGAAGAGTGCATCCTCAGGACGCAGGTGGATGCGTTTACGGATGAGAAAGTAGAACTGTCCCACAGTCAAATCGGATGGCACCAGATACTTCTTTTTGTCCAAATCGCCAATGCGCGCCTTCGGTGCCTTCTCCACTATCACCTGTATAATGTAAGCAGCAAAATCGAAGAAGGAATTAGAGCATTTCATCAGTTATGGATGATACAATAAATTGCGTCTTCAAAAAAAAAAGTGAATACGTGACGACATACCGATAAATCAAGCACTCGCATATATGCATATATATATATGGGGATATAGATATATATATATATATATAGACATAGTACGTGTGTAGACTCATTCTCAAATATTTACTAACGAGTGTAATTGCATTTTTTTGTGTAGCATTGCAGCAATAGAGAACAAAGCGAACAAAAAATGCAAAACAATTTGACAGTGGCAAGTGGCAAATGTTAGCAACATCAATTAAAAAGGCATGCAATGTATGTATATACACACATATTTATACATATGTGTGTACACACTTAGAATTGCTGTTAACTAGCAAGAGCCAAATAAGAGGGGGGTGTCATTGGCCGTGCTCAAGGTGAAGACGACCAATAGTTATATATGTATATATATTTCATTTATATGTGTACACTTTGTATTTGTTTATACATATGTATATGGACATAATTAGCGAGCGACCAGCTGGCCTTGCCTGTATTTGGTTTCTCGTCAGTCAGCTGTTATGTGATTTTCAGTGCCTGCTGCTGCTTGCCAAAATACAAAACTTGTGAAACACAAAGCAAGTCAAGCAAGCACAAACCGTTTGTTAAATATATATATATATACTATAATAGAACGAGAAGTAAACTGAATAATATAATGAGCAAGGTGATTGAGCAGAAGGAAGTGAGGCGAGGTGCTGGCAGTGTTGCCACATTGTCATCATTAAGAATTGCAATATTTCTGCTCAAGCAAGAAAAATGGCTGCGGCTTCCTTTGCTGATAACAGTGGGAATTACAGAGGGAGAGGGAGAGCGAGAGAGAGAAATCTTTTCAATTTATTACATATGGTGAAATAAGCAAACAAAGTGAGCAAGTCGCTATGACTAATTGTGGATTCAAAGCAAAAACAGAAAAGTGTAGCACAAACAATTAACATTAGCCAAAATCATAGGCTGTTATTTTTTTTCTACTTTTTTAATGCGCAGTTCTAAAACAGTCTGGACAACCTTTTTGCAAATCAACAAACAAAAACAACGCACTTTACGCAAACAAAAAAACACACAAAAATTGTTGATTTCATAGAGAAAAAAAAAAAACAACTGTCAGGTTGGCCGTGTGTGCGTTGATAGATAACAAGGAGGGGGGAGCTGACGCCGTGGAGGTAAATAGCGAGCAAGAAGCGAAATGAAAAACAACAGCACAACAGCTGAGCAAGCGAGTCAGCTAGCAGCTCGTCTCTCTCGCACACACACACATTCATGGTCCGAACAAAGCCTGCTGTGTATGTGTTGGTTGATGCATCAATTTGTTTGATTTTCACTTGAGATTTGGCCTGTGCTGACTAAAAAAAAAAAATTTGATTTGCAGGCAACATATGTGAAAAAGTGCCGCTGATAATTAAGAGCAAGAAATGATCATCAAATTATTACCATTTGCATCTACAGCCAATTTGCGCATTATTGATTTTCCCCGCAATGTGTGTGTGCGTGTGTGTATAGCAAAAGCAACAACAACACACACATACACAAATTGAACGACGCAAAACAATCGCATACATATAAACAACCCAACACACACACACACACACATGCACAGTGTTAGGAAAGTCAAAAATACACATTTAGATATAAATACTCGATTTTATTATACTTACAGGCACACGGTCAGGATATTTACGGCGAATTTTGTCGCCTTCGGCGCGACGCTTCTCAAATGCATGCTCCTCTTTATATTGGAATTTCATGATTGTGCTTGCTAAATAATTGTATAAGAAACGCAGTTTTCACTTTACTTTTTAACCAACCCAATAAAAAAAAACTAGCTGTCGCTGTCGTCTGTAGTTCACTTGTGCTGACTGCTTAATTCAGTATGACCAATTCAAATGCAAACGAAAAGACCAAAAGTTCGTGCAAGTGCTAAAATTAGCAATCAGTGTGACTGTAAGTTTTTCCCATTAAGAGCCTGAAAAAAATACCAGGAAAATACCAAGCTGTACCTAAAATAGTGCTGTATATCGTGTTGGGAAAACAATCGACATTCACTCCAATAAAAAAACAGAATCGATGACTTTTGTATATTGCGATATATTGGTTCTTTTCCTCCGTGGTTTTCAAGTAATAGGATGGCTCCAACTGTAAGCGCTCATGAAAAATCGCAAATTAGTTGCACCATCACATGTAAATTATGTTCAACAAATGCAAAATATGCAGCCAAAAACTACTCCGCGTGCGCACACAGTGAGATTTGTACAAAAAACATACGTGTGATGGTGCAAATAATTCATTGCAAATAAATTGCGCCTAAAATAATTATATGTATACAAATCTCAAATCTTAGGCCAAGACCAACAAGGGAGATACCAAGGCGTCGGCTGCCAAGCCCGCCGAGAAGAAGGCTGCACCAGCCGCCGCCAAGGGCAAAGTGGAGAAGCCCAAGGCAACTGAGGCTGCTAAACCAGCGGCTGCTGCTGCTAAGAACGTGAAGAAGGCACCGGAAGTCGCTAAGGATGTGAAGGCAGCCGCTGCAGGCAAGCCCGCTGCCGCTGCGAAAGCAGCTGCTTCCGGCACAAAGGCGGCACCAGCTGCTGCCGCCGCCAAGAAATCGGCGCCAGCTCCAGCTGCGGCCAAGAAGGACACCAAGGCTGCTGCTGCTGCACCGGCGGCTGGTGCCAAGAAGGCTGCTCCCGCTGCCGTGAAGAAGGCAGCGCCAACTGCAGCTGCTGCTCCGCCAGCAAAGAAGGCAGCGCCTGCCGTTGCCAAGCTTGCTGCTGCAGCACCAGCTGCTGCCGCCGCCGCTGTTCCCGCCGCTGCTGCTGCTGCCAAGCCAGCTGTGGCCAAGCCTAAAGCGAAGACAGCAACGCCGGCGCCGAGCAAGGTTGTGAAGAAGAATGCGTTGCGTGGCAAGGGACTGAAGAAGAAGAAGGTCTCGCTGCGCTTCACAATCGACTGCACCAACATTGCCGAGGACAACATTATGGATGTGGCCGATTTCGTAAGTATCACACAAGTTTCCCACAACACATTCATGTTGCATCCAAACCAAGAAGAAGCAGCAGCAGCGGCTACTAACCATAACCTCAAAGATAGCGACAAAAACAGCGCAACAGTGACGTCAGTCCAGTGCTACCACACCAAGCTTTTCATTGCCGCAAAACACAGAGGCTCTGGATAAAAAGTTGTGGTTACAGCAAATAATTTCGGTAGCGATTAAACTGCACTTGGCAAAATTATGCCAGCCATTTGCGGTTAACAACTGCTGAAACAAGTCTAGATTCCAACTAGGAATCCGTCTCCATTTCTCGTAGATATCGCTTATCGGTATTATACGCTCAATGATTGTCCTTTCATTGTGACCCGACGCAACTTGTGTCGATCGTTTCTCTCTGACAAGGGGCTCTGGACACTGCACAACGGGGTAGCCACTGATCGCCAGTACCGGGTCTGGCCAGTTGGTGCAACCGTCTGTGAACAGCGTCAAGTCGTGCTATGTGTACCGCCACGTGGTGGGCCCTGGGTTGAACGTGCCACATCCGTGGTGCGTCAGGCCAAAATTCATAGTGCGCCCTGCTATAAAAGCGTGTACAATTTTGCAAATCTCGTCACGCTGCAGGTTTCTCCACGAAGCTAAAAAAAATATAAATAATGAATAGTTTAAAAAGGGGAAACCTTTTTGCGCTATACGCGCATATATACTCTTTAGGAGTATATATCTACCATATAAATATGTATGTATACTAGATATAGCAGGGCGCAATCCTGCCCAGCTGCTGTAAGTCATAATGTCGTCGCAACTCGGACCAGGAAAAAATTTAAAAAAAAACAGGTATATTGCTACTGCTCCTCCCTCTCCATTCATTCATCCATCACTTTAACGAATTGGGAATAAGTTCAATCGATACCCAGTATTATTGTTCATTATTGCCTGGGTTTTTTTTGTTGTACGCTTTAACTTATTCGTAGTTCGATTTATTACAACCCCCTCCCTCCATATAATGTATACTTTTAGGCCACGCCGATTTGCCGTCAGAGAGTGAAGGCTTCTTTTAGCCATTGGTCGCTCTGATGGCAGTGTACTCAGTGGCATATTGAAAAATTGGTCACTCTTCTTTATTTGGGCCTTTTGTTTTCGAATTTACTATTGACTTTTGGCCTTAACAAAGAAAGAGACAGAACAACAACGGTTCGGAAAGAGACAGAGAGAGAGCATTTTGTAATTGTAGTCCGTCCCTTTCTAATAACTGAATATTTCTAACTCCCCGTTTCGCAGGAGAAATATGTGAAGGCTCGCCTAAAGGTCAACGGAAAGGTGAACAATCTGGGCAACAATGTCACCTTCGAGCGCTCCAAGATGAAGCTTATCGTTAGCTCCGATGTGCACTTCTCCAAGGCCTACCTCAAGTACTTGACCAAGAAGTACCTGAAGAAGAACAGTCTGCGCGACTGGATCCGTGTGGTTGCCAACGAGAAGGACTCGTACGAGCTGCGCTACTTCAGAATAAGCTCCAACGATGATGAAGACGACGATGCGGAGTAAAGATTCAAAACAGCAATTTTTATACATGATCTGTTTTTAAATACAAACGCCACCACACATGGTTTACATGAAATAAAGAAACAAAATTCGAAAGTTGTCGAAACTCAAATAGTTTTTTTTCTTTCGCTTTTATTCGATCTCTGCGAATTTATATATATAAATATATATATATATATATATATGTGTATGTATGTATATGTTGGTCAGCATCAATTGCTGCATTTGTTTGCTGCCATGGGAAATTGACGCAGTTTTAAATCTTAATAGAGGGCATTATAATTTGGTCGTCTGTATATATATATATATATATATATATATATTGAACAGCATCATTAGCCGAGTCGATGTAGCCATGTCTGTCTGTCGGCCCGTCTGCTTTTTATGCCAACTGGTCGCTCGCTCAGCCTTGAAGCTTGGCATATGTTCGTCATTTTGCTGCAGACCTGATTGAATCACTATATCATATAGCTGCCATAGGAACAATTAGACGACAGATGGCTTTTTGTTCAACAAAATATGCGAACCCAACTCACCCAATTTAATTTATTATGTATTTTTATGCTGCTCCAAAAAAAAAAAAGAAAAAACAAATTGATGGTCAAATTTTAGATGTCGGCGGCTATTTGAGGCCGATCTACAAGAGAAGGGTTTGTTAATCTGGCCCAATATTAACGCAAAGCGCAGTGGAGAGCTGTGTAATCTGAGTCGGACCAACTGCTCTGCAGTAATCCAAGCTCTAACTGGGCACTGGTTGGTCGGCATTCATGCCAACAGACTCCAGGTGCCGTATAATGATTTCTGCAGAAGCTGCAAAGAGGAGAAAGACATTGAATCCCCGGGGCACTTCTTCTGCAATCCTGGGAAACTACTCCCCAACCGGCCTATCAGAGCTAGAAAACATGAGACCGGCCAGGTTCGCAAAATATATAATCGCAACTGGCTGGGCAAATGTCTAACTGTTCAGGATGCTTCCAGAGCACGAGTATAGAATAAATCCCCCCCAGATCCCATACGGCACGACAACGGGCCAAATATGGCCTAAATGTGTGAACCCATTGGGTTGACAGCCTAACCTAATCTGTTTTTGAAATGACGGTTGCTGAAATTCACAGATTTCTAAAAATTGTAGTAAAATTGTGTTTACATCAGCTCTGACCGAAAAATGATTTGTGAAATTGCCAAAAAGCAAATATAAATTGATTTTACAGTGGGGAAAATCCGTGGGTGGCGTTCGGCATATGAAGTTGATTGTTGTGTTTGTTTCACATCGTTGCCGCACCACAATTGTTACGGTTGTAAAAACACACTCCAAACACACACGCACACACACCCACACACACACATGCACACACACACATGCACACACACACAGTGCAACACACTCCAAACACACACGCACTGTTTGATTGTATTCGCTAATCAGTGAAAGTTTTTCTTATGTGTTGTTATTGATGTGCAGACTACTCAAAGAGAGATCTTTGCTGGATCGGCTATGCCCGATAACAACTGATAGATAGCATAGATATAGATACAGATATATGCCTAGAGTTGCTGTTGTTGTTGTTGTTATTCGATGGAAAGAAAGACGAGCTGGAAGCTTGAGGTGCGGCGTGTTGTTTAAGCTTTTATTGAGTCAATTGACAAGAATAAGAATAAAAATAATTAATAAAAACAAACAAGAAAACAAAAAGGAAAAATAATGGTTGACAAAACAATATTGTATAATAAAAGGGTGCAAGACTAATGAAAAAGCATCTACGAATAACGCTTAAGCAACAATTGCTACAAATTTAATATATCATATAATACATTCACTGAGATTATCGTTGTCTTTTATGGGTTGTATGTGGGCAGAGGTGTAGGGTATACGGGAATATGGGATCAATGCGATCAATGCCCTATAAAAATGGTCCACATTCGAATGTTCAATATATATATAAAGTACGAGATTCACAGTTAATATCTGTATTCCTTGATAGCGGGATAGCTGCCAATTATCATCATCATAAATATCATCATCACAATTGAAGGCCTTCTGGTTAATATCAGGCGTAGTCATCGGCAAAATACGGATTACAACGGTAAAACTACTAGATAACAATGCATAATTTCAAAGGTACGCTGCAATGCGGGGAGGCGGGTGTTGGGGGTGGCGGTGGGGGCGGGCACGACTAGGTTTGGGTTGTGGGGGTGGTTGTCTTTTTGCGTTTTGGGTTTGTTGTTCTAGTGTCGCAACTAAAGAGTGCTAAGCGCAATAATTGGATTTAATCGTGACCCGTTCAGTTCGCCACGATGACAAGGCGCCAGAGCCAGCCCCCAAGGAGGACAACGAGCAGTGACAACTGGCTACTGACCAACTGGCTGCTGACGCCACTGGTGCTGGAGCGTACGGCTGCCTGATCTGGGGGAAGCATTGCCGGTGGCGGCGGCTGACTGGTGGCCATCGGAGCCAGCGGTACGGGTGCACCGCCGGGCGCAGCGGCTGGCGGCGGTGGTGCCGGATAACAGGCCACTTTCTCCACTTCAATCATTTTGCTGCTATCGGCCGGATCTGTTTCGTTGACCTTGGTGGGCACACAAATGATGCCGCCAGGCGGTGGTGGTGGTGCTGCTGCAGCCGGATCTGTTCCATTGGTCATCGGCATGGTCTCATTAGTGGGCGAGAATGGGGCGAGATGTGCAGGCGGTGCATCCATTTGAGTGGCATTCATGGGGGCCATGGGGGCCACGGGGGCGCCATTTGCATTGATGACAGTGGTGCCATCGCTGGCATTCACAGGCACACCATTGTTGATAATAATGATGCGATCCTGACCAGCGGCAGGCGCTGGCGCCGCAGCCACCGGCTGCGATGAGCTGCTACCGCCCGACGGAGTCAATGCATGACCCAACAGAGCACCGCCCAATCCACCAGCCAGCAGACCAGTTCCTGTAAGAGAAGAAGGTCTCAGTTTTAAATCTTTACTTCGATTTGATTTTGAATCCTTTTCGATTTTTAATTTTATCGAGGTTTTCAGATTTTCCAATTGATTTGTGCTTACCGAAGCCCAGGCCGGAGGAGGAGGATTGCTGTGGTGCTTGCGGATAGTAAACGGCCCCAGGTGGCAGCGCGGCGCCCGCCTGGAGATATGTGGCGCCCGGTGGTGGAGCTGCAGCCGGATGATAACCGCCAGCGGGCAGGCCACCCGATGGATAACCGCCAGCGGGCAGGCCACCCGATGGATAGCCGCCGCTAGGTTGATAGACACTGCCGGCGGGCATATGGCTGCCAGCTGGATAATAAGTGGCGCCCGGTGGCACACCCGAATATTGCTGGCCATGATTCTGGGTGGCTGTTATCGGCTGATGCACATTGGAGCCGGGTGCACCATAGTTGGGCGCATGATACGCTGGCGGTGGCTCATGGATGTTGGTGTGTGCGCCACCAGCCGGATTCGAGGCGGAATAAGAGGGCGGCGGTCCATGTTGCGGTACATTCCAGCCAGCAGCTGGCGGATTTTGATTAGCGTTGGAGTTAGCGCCACTTGCCGGACGATTTGGTTGTGAATTGTAATTGGGATAGCTCAGTTTGGCAACATCAGCGTGGGAGTTGCCGCCGTTGCCATTGCCATTGCTGTTGCTGCTGTAGCTGGGCTGAGTCACATGACCCGAGTTGCTGCTGGATGATGGTCTGCGTTGGTTGCTGCCCTGGTTACGGCGCGCATCCACAACACCCAAACCGATGCCGCCATTAGTCAGCAGCACAGCAAACACGGTGACAACGACAATTGCGCATTTTGTACCCACTGCCATCGCAACAATCACCGTCACAGCCGTTTTTTAACGATTTTCTCTATATATATACTATGCATATAAATTATGCAAATATTTACATAGTATATTTGTGTGTGTGTATGCGACGAGTGAGTGGCAGGCAGTCAGCGCAGCAGCATGTAAATTGTTCGAAATGATATGATGATGATTATTATTATTATTTTGAATCATGCGACCAAATACACTCAAGTTAACAATAAAATTCAATATGTGCATGCTAATTACCCAATAAAGAAACTTGTTTCTCTCTTCCAATGCTATTGTTGTTCTTGCTGTTGCTACTGGTATTATTTATGGCCGATTGTTGAACGACTTCCACGTACGAGCGCTGCGAGTGTCGAGCGTGGTTTAATAATACTGCAATTCAAAAACCTTGCTTGGAGCTGCTGTTTGCTGATCAACAAATGTTATTTGGTGTTATCGATTTGATGCAATGCATAGCATTGCCGTTGGTGCTGCCAACTCACAGCGATGGCGTTGTGGCGCCAAAAGTTCGCAGGGAAGTTCAGTTTTCTTATCAATGCAGGTTCCGTTTTCTTATCATTGAAATTTGGATTAAATTGTATTTGATTAATTATATAATTATTGCGGATCTACCTGGAGCTGCTTGCTGATCAACAAATGTTATTTACTGTTATCGATTTGATGCTATGTATAGCATCGCCGTTGGTGCTACCAACTCACAGCGATGGCGTTGTGGCGCCAAAACTTTACAGGCAATTTCATTTCAGCTATTGCGAACGAATTCTAATATTTCTAAAACATCATGGTGCCTCAATAATAAAATTAAATTATAGAAAAATTATCAAAAAGAATATGAACACAAATATTTTACAATAAACGCAGTGTAAGCAGTGCAGTTGGCAACGCCAGCAGCACCGATTACAGTTGGCATAATAATGAGTCAACGATACAGACAATCGATATATATCGGCACACAATATCAACAATCGAGCCGGCAACGGCAATTATTTATATTTGCTTAGTCCAACTATTATAAACGAAAAGTGCATTACTCTGTACACGATTGCGATCAATTAACATTGCTTCAACTGCGCATTAGCCGTAATTAGGCTGAAGTGTGAACGTTATTTGGCTGGGTGCACGCAACTAACCCAGCCACGTGGGAGGAGTACGTGGCAATGAATATAATGTTGTCGTGAATTCCCATTCCCATTCCGAACTTGATATGACTAACTAGTTTCAATTATAATAGGCCGCACACTGAGAATATTTTAATTGACAGACAATATAATTGGGGAGAGAGATGACTGCCACGCTACGCTATCGGGGCGACAAGAGCAATTTGCTCGAGTTCGCCAAGAATCTGGATGCCTTTAAGAAAGTGCCTGAGAAGTACACAGAGACCACAGAGATTGGCGGTACACGTAAGTATCTCTCGCTCTCTTCATGCTCCTCTCATGTCCTTAATGTCTAACGATGTGTTTTACAGTCTCGCTGCTAAGTCGGCTGCTCATCGTCTATTTGGTTTATACGGAACTGCGCTATTATTGGAGCGAAACGAACATTATTTATCAGTTTGAGCCGGATATGTCGCTGGATGAGCAGGTGCAGATGCATGTCGATATCACCGTGGCGATGCCATGCGCCTCGCTCTCCGGCGTCGATCTCATGGATGAGACACAGCAGGATGTCTTTGCGTATGGCTCGTTGCAGCGCGAAGGTGTCTGGTGGCAAATGGCGGATGCTGATCGCCGTCACTTTCAGTCCATGCAAATGACCAATCACTATTTGCGCGAGGAATATCACTCTGTTGCGAACATACTATTCAAGGACATTTTGCGCGAACGCACACAGCCCAAGGAGAGCGAAGCACATTCAGTTCCTGCACAACCGGCACCGGGTCCATTGCAGCAGTTGCAGCAACATCCACAATTTGAGGCGAAATATGATGCGTGTCGACTGCACGGCACCCTGGGCATCAACAAGGTGGCCGGTGTGCTGCATTTGGTGGGCGGGGCACAGCCGGTGGTTGGCATGTTCGATGATCACTGGATGATCGAGTTCCGGCGCATGCCCGCCAACTTTACGCATCGCATCAATCGCCTCAGCTTTGGCCAGTACTCGCGACGCATCGTCCAGCCGCTGGAGGGCGATGAGACCACCATCACCGAGGAGGCCACCACAGTGCAGTATTTCATAAAGGTGGTGCCCACGGAGATTCAGCAAACGTTTAGCACTGTCAGCACATTCCAATACGCCGTCACCGAGAACGTTCGCAAACTGGGCAAGTAACAAATAAAAAGTTGCATGTGGCATGTTCGTATATCGATTCTTAATCCGGATAATCTGTCTGTTTTTATAGAAACTAGTCTCTTAGTTTTAAAAACTATCTTGATGAAACTAATATATCTTTTAGCACACATATACCAAGTCTAGAAATAAGTCAGGATTGGAAAATTAGAAACACACATTCTTAATTCAAATTCTCAATCTTCAAGCTAACAAATTATTATTCTTAATTGTGAATCTAATCGAATCTCTTGTCCCGAATCACTTACAGACTCCGAGCGCAACTCGTATGGTTCTCCGGGCATATATTTCAAGTACGATTGGTCCGCCTTGAAGGTAGTCATTAGTCACGATCGTGACTATTTCCTCACCTTTGTCATACGGCTCTGCTCGATTATATCGGGCATCATTGTAATTTCGGGCGCTGTAAATGCGCTGCTTTTGGGCTTGCAACGTCGCCTGCTGAACACCTTTGCGCCGCAGCTTTACCAGCGGCTGCCACAGGCTGCGACGGCGCCTCCAACAGGAATCAGCGTAGCCAGGAGTCCAGCGATGGCGCCAACGATGCCAGTCAACGAACTGCTGAATGCCGCCAATCTGATGGCCAACGTGGACATATCGGCATATCTGCCGACGGCTGCTCCCAAGTCTGACATGTAGCGTTGGACCCTGGGCCAGAAGTGGCCATTTAGCGTCAAACGTAATCTCCTTTAAAATCAAATCCAAAATCTATTTTTAATATTATTACGCCGCAAAATGCAATCGCTGCTTAAACATAATTTACACTAAGCCAAAAACAAAACAAAACTGTACATAAATTCACATAAATGATATAAATATATATACGCTATAGATATACATATATATTCGCTCACAGACTAGAACGAGTTAATTTCTAATCCTCCAAGAATTGCTTAAAGTTCAAAAAGGAAAGAAAAAAGATGCTGCAACTATTAGTGTAAAATATATTTAAAAAAGAAAAAGAAAGAAAAATGTTAAATTAAAAGTAATATTTTAATTGGACTTTTCGAATTCTGCAATGCACAATATATATATACTATATAGATAATATATCGATTAGTGCTCGTGTCCCAGTATGCCCGTATCCAGATTGCTGTAGATACGCGCACCGGATCGTCTATAGCCGAACATGCTCTTGAGTATTTCCAGGCCGGATTCAACGGTGGTGCGCACATCATGTTCGCTGCCCAGCTTCGGATTGATCTCGACCAGATCCATGCCCTGCACACGTTTCGTGTCGCGCAGCGCCTCCACAATGCTGATGCCCTCTCTCAAGGTTAAGCCACCGCGGACCGCAGTGCCCGTACTCGGCGCCACATTGCTGTCCAGGGCATCGATATCGAAACTCACATGGATCTTGTTCTGCGGATTCAGTGCATCCAGCGTCATCTCAATGATCTTGGGCACGCCCACACGATCGATAGACTGTGAAAAAGCCAAGCCAATAAAAAATGTTAAACTGGAAAACTTTGCTTTTTGAACTTCAGGTAATATATCTGAACTGATATTTGATAATCGAAAATGATGGATTTATTTGTAAACTTGTAGAAGACTAACTTGGAAATTGGTTCTTAAATGACATATTTTTTGGCAAAAAGTTTGAGTACCCCTCGAAAAGCTAACCCACCCAAAAGACGTGCATCTTCTGGCAAAACTTTACTTTTGGTCCAATAACAATTATTGGCTTTAGATAAGATATCTGCGATATATGTTAAAGCTGCGAGTGAAAAAGAGTAATTTTAAAGTGCTAGAATTTTTCTAAGCTAAGAAAAAGTGAAATTGGTTCTTTAATGCAATCTATTTATTTGTTGGCAAAAAGTTTGAGTACCCCTCGCTAACCCACACAAAAGCCACGCAGCGGCTGTAACGGTACCAAAAGCTTAGCAGAGTGTCTAAGCCGCGATTGGTGGACTTCGTCGGACATCTGATAAGGAAACGGAATATGGCGCCTGGACAAAAATACAAATGGCGGCCATTAATCGCATTATTTAAATAGAAAGAAAGCAACCAAAAAAATAGAAGTAAAGTACAGCTGACAACGACGACGATGACGATGACGACGACAACAAACGATTTGCGCGCCGCGCATATTGGGATCGAACTAATGAGCTATAATAAATTTTGCAGCTCCGTAAGACCATTAAACCATTTTTCAACAGATGTCGATTTTGCACGAGCCATAAATAATAGCTGGGCAACAACCAGGCACAGCCGGATGTGGCCAAGCACGTTGCAAGCGTTGCATGCGTGGCAAGCAAGCAACCCACCCTGCGCGATCGGATGTTGCAGGCGCTAAATGTAACAAGGCTGTCTGGCTGCCTGGGAGGGATACATGGATATGGATATATGCTGGAATGGAGGGAGGATTGGGTCGCCGAATGTTGCTGCTAGGGAGTATTCTGTAACTTTGCCTTTGGCTGCAGAAGGGTGCAACTAGATTCAATTTCTCTCACTCTCTCTCTCGCCTGACAACCCCTATAAATGCCAAGCTTACACTTACAACAGACACACACACACACACACACATACACAGAGTCACACACACATTGAACTATTGTAATTCTGTTGAGGCTGTCACGCACGATCGTTATTTGATCCTGCTGCAAAACCGGAATTTTACAATTTTTACAACAGCAGCCACAAAAGAACACATGAGCATATGTATATGTATATATATGTATATGAATATATGTGTTTATACCTATTTCCTACTTACATCCATGGCATAGTGGCGTATTCCAAACTTATTCAATATGAACGCCTCGTAGGGGTCAATGTCCCGCAAGCCAATGTAAACCAATTGATCCTTTGGCAAACTGAAATGAGTCACAAAAATAGACAAAAAATAAAATAAAAAATAAAACGAATAGAGTCATTTAGCGTGTGAGAAATAATTTAGTAATTAGAGAATTAGCCACAACAGCTGTGAAGCGATGCCTTTTTCTAATATATAATTATATATTTATATTTATAATTTATATTAATATTTGTGTACTATTCACTTAATTGTTAAATTAAATAAAATAAATGTAATAAAAATAAATGTAAAAAGTACAATTTTCCATGCACTGGGAAAACCCAGAAAAATCTCAATAATACTCAAAAATTAAGTTGAAGAATCGTTTTTAGTACAACAAACTAGTAAGCCAGACTAAAATCAAGAAAGAATTCACATTTATATATCCATTTGAAAAATGCATATAACTATTAAAATATGAAAAGTAAAACAAATGGGAAACCCCAGAAATAACGCAATAAGACAAAAATACTAAAAAGTTAAGTTAAGGCAATGTTTCTAGTATAGCTTTTGAGGTTTTCCGGTTATTTATTGTATATTTGAAAGACTTAAATGTGAGCATAGAATTCAAGGATCTGGAATAGCAGTCAGATGCTGATTAGTAGGCCAGGTGTGGCAAGGGCTCGACATTGAGCACTGAACTGTGGCATTTGTAAGAGAAAAACATAAAGCGGCAACAACGGAAACACATGCCACAATTTGGATGGCAAGGCAGCATATCCTGCTTCCCTCTGCTTTAGTCCCTCTCACTGAAACTCTCACCCTCAGCGATCTCAGAGCGAAAAACTCTCTCTCTCTCTCTCTTTCTCTTTCTCCGCTCGGTGTCTTATGGTAATTTGTGTGATTATTATTATTATTAGGATTGGGGTAAAAAGTGCATCTGTCGATCGCAGGGCTGTGCAGCGATACGTGCAAGGGTCATTAAGTATATATATATATATATATATATATATACTCGTATATATATATAATATGTAAACGCAGAGTGTCGCCCCAAAAGGAAAACTCTGGCATCGCGGTTCGTTGGGGGTTGAATGAATCACCAGTTCTGATCCTGCTGCCGTTTCCAGCCTGGCTGATACAATTGCTGTTGTTGGTGTTGCTGTTTCTTGTTTATTCGTAAATACAAAAATCGGTTAAGGGTGAAAAGCCGAACAACATAAAAAAAAAATACATAAATAAAATGCTGGGTTTTGTTTTTGTCATCCTTGCTTTTTTAATCCTGCGGCTGTTGTTGTTGTTCCTGTTGTTGTTCTTCTGTTTTATTTTCACCAAATCCAAAAGGATTAGACATGCTCCCGTGTACCGAGCCCTTTTCCCAAAGCCGTTGCCCATTTTGAAATTTGTCAAATGTGTTGCATACCGCGTGGCGAAACAAGAGAGAAAGCGTGAGAGAGAGAAAGAATGAGAGCGAGCGAGAGAACGAATGAGAGAGAGAGAGAGAATGAGAGAGCGGGCCGAGCACGTGAGCCGTTAGTTAGATAGACAACTTGCACACCCAATTTATACATAGCTGAGGAGCATGCGTCAGCAAAAACAGAAGTTGCCGCAAATTAATTATTATCACAAATACTTATCGCTATAAATATATATGTGCACAAACACATTCACATTTACACACATGTGTGTATGTGTGTGTGTGTCTGTCTCTCTGTGTGATGAGCTAATCGCCAGCCCCCATTTTAGCTGGCAACGCTTTTCCCTAAGTGGCAGACAGTGTTGCCAATTTCGTCTTTTTTTCCTCTGCTGCTTTTCAGAAAATGTTATAGAAAATGGCGCGCTTTGGAAAGTTCTTCTTCTTCTTCTTCTGCTTTACTTATTGCTATTTGATAAGCGATATTAAATATTAGATAACAAGTTATTTGACTGTTTGCAGATAAGCTATATATATCTATATTTCTTTCTTATTCTTTTAATTTCAATAGGAGTTTTAATTTAGTTTAATCAAATTTTTTACTTTAGTTGACATTAAATAAATCAATAAATAAAATAAAAGTAAATATTATTTCTTATGAATAAAAGAGCATTTTACAAGCGACAAAAGCTAGAAATAAATAAAAAAATAAAAAAGTTTTGATTCACTTTTCATTGCATCATTTTCAGCTCCCTTAAAAAACTAGCTTTTCTTGCTCGACTTTATTATATTGATGTACGTATGTATGCATGTGTGTGTGTGTGTATAGTTGCATAAATTATTCTTATCGTGCGAAGGATATGTAGCAACTCTCAAACACTTGCGCGTCGCCGATCTGTCTCGTCTGGCCATTACCCTCCCCCCACCCCACCCACCCTTTTGGGCTTAGACTCACCGGTCTGGCAACCCAAATCTCATCAAAAAGTCCAAGAACCACCCCAGTCAAAAAAAAAAAAGTTGAGTTACTTTTTCGGTTTTTGCAAGTAGCAACAGCAACAACAACAGCAGCAGCAATAACAATGTGTTCACTCTGTGTAAATTGGAACAGACAGGCGGCGACGCCGTCGGCATACTTGTAATGTTCTTGAAACATAAAAATCAGCACATGAAACCGGTGGGCAGCAGAACAACAGGAAGCATACACATGACACGCATACACACACACACACACACGCACACATGCTGAATACGAGCGCAATTAAGCACACGCACGCATGCCAAAAAAAAAACCCTCTATAAGAGTCGCCAGATAGGCGCAAATGGGGGGTGTATGCTGTACAGAAACCACCCCGGCGTTGGTGGTGGCTCTGCACACGCACACACACACACACACCACACACACACGCACACAAGTCAAGCGAACAGCCCTTCAAGGATAATGTGCATGTAAAGAGAAAGCAAGCGAGAGCGAGAGCAAGCTCCAGCATACAAAGAGCTTCATAAAACGGTTGTCGACCTCATCTCATCTAATACAAAAAACACACACAAACACTACAAAATGTTTGCAGCTTTTGCACAATTTCAAATTTCAAATTAGAAACGAAATTTTGCCATTCTCTATTAGCGATGACGCTTCCATTTTTCTGGCCACACTTTTATTAACTGTGTCATGCAAGACTCTTTTGCTTGCTGTTAACATGACAGCTTCATAATACAGAGATCAGCCATTTTGATTTGCAGACTTGCAAACGTACAGATCGCAGCTAGTTTTTTAAGCAAATCATGCAATTTTATGGCGCTCAAATTTGAATTGTTAATTAAGTTTTCGTTCAGAATTGAAATTTTGTACACTCAACGAACGATCTGATCGATTTGACTCCCGATAAAACAAATCACCCACCATCAATGGGCACCCAAGTTAACGAAGACGGAGTGGAGTACCTGAAAAAACGCATTGAGAGAGAGAAAAAGAGAGTGAGAAACGCAAGCAATGTAGGAAAAATATCAACAAAACGATCATTCTCCCATGCTCGCACTGACGCTCTCCCAAATCTGACTGTTAAAATTACATACATACGCACACATAACGATCGCGTTTGCACATACACACACACATGCACACACACACACACACACACACATGCAGAAATAGAGACGACGTATGTCGACGAGGGTAGCAAGGTTTGTGTTTGCGTTTGCGTTCGCGGCATTTTATTTCCACGCTAGACGTTGTACGCCGCAGTACGTTTGAACGCTCGTGTGCGCTGCCTCAGCTCTCGTGTGCCCAGTTCAGTTTTGCAATTGATTTTTTATTTTTTTTTGTCGAAAAAGTACTAACGACCACAACCGTTTACAATTGTTGAAAATACACAAAAATACAAGCATTGCCATAGAAAACTACGTAAAGTGCAGGAACAACCAAAACAAAATCAAAAAATACAAAATAAAATAATAAAACAACAAATATCAACAACAGTAGCAGCCGCAACCAAACGTAAGAGTAACGAAAAAAACAAAAAAAAATTCTACGGAAATTGCCAAACGTTTGCTACGCGCTGCATAATTGTGCAATTACATACATACATATATACAGACATGCATGCATTTACATACACATATGTATGGATGTATATTTTTTTTGTTTTTGCTTTCGAGTTGGTACCTGTGTGTTTGTGTGAAACAATTTGATCATGTATGCTAAAACGCAAAATTACAATATGCAATGGGTATAACAAAAAAAAAAACGTAGAAAGACGTAAAGACTACAAACAGTTCAACAAACTCAGAAGAGAGGCGAACGATGATCGGTGCCTGGAAGGGGAGGGCTGCCAGTCAGTGCTGGGCAAAACGACGCAAAATAGTAGTAGTTGTAGTAGTAGTATTAATAGCTGTGCGTTAAAATCTACTGCAAAATGTTGTCGCTCAGTCGACTCTCTGTGATGTGTATCTGTAAAATGAGCGCTGTGTGTGTGTGTGTGTGAGCGACAGAAACGGCGCAGCAAGCATATTGATTTTATGTGCAGGAGAAGGAGCATTGTACGCCGCCGACAACAACAACAATAGCAACGAAATAGTAGTAGAAACACACTTGATTTGACTGCAATGGAAGAACTAAAACAAAAAAGCCGGCTGCGATAAATAAACTAAAAAAAATACATTTATTTGTATAAACTAATAAAAGAAAACTTTAACTGTAGTTGAATTTGTTTGTTGCCTAAAAGTAAATTAGTATTCGTATTGTTGGCTAGAGCGTAGTGTTTGGTTACCACAGCAACACTGAGCCTGAGCTAAACAAAAAAGTTGTGCGAAGAGCAGAGAGAGTTGCGCGGAAATACAAATTAGAACAATTCAACACAGCACAGGAAAAAGAGAGTAATAACAAACGCGCCAGCAGCAGTGAACAATTCAATATTAATTTTTTTTTCGTATTTTGTTGTTTTCAAATTAAGCAAGAACAACAACATACAGCACAGAAACAATAACTGAAACAGCGCGTGTTTTAATTTAATAAGCGCGATGTCTAGCAACACAAAAAAACAACATAGATACTAAGTGCGTATGTGTGTGAGCAAACATGTACAGTGTCTCACAGCTCAAAAGACCCAGTGTCTAGCAAAAAATTTAAAGTGCTATAAGGTTTAAACAAAGGAACGATCGCAAAATGTTTAAATGCCAATTTGTTTCATGTTATATCACGTTTGAAAAATTAACTAGTTTTTATTAAAATATTAATTAATTAATTAAAATTAGTCAAAAACTGAAAACATGTTCAAATACATGTCAAAGCTCATTTGGCCCAGTCTTAGAAAAGTAACATATTTGGCGTATAAAAACTTAAATAAGGATGTTAATACTTAGTATGATATCCTTTAGCCCTAATAACTTCCCCTAACCTATTATTCATGGAAGATATCAGCTTCCGGGTCGTTTCTGGACTGATTTTGCTCCACTCCTCCAACAGAGCATTCTTGAGATCGGATCTGTGATTCCTGATGTTATTTTCCAGCAGAGCCCACAAATTTTAAATAACATTTAAATCTGGAGACTGGGCCAAACACCAAATTTCCGACGCCGGCTTCCGAGATAGATACCCATACCATGACACTACCTCCGCCGTGCTTCACTGTTGCCTTTAGGTGTTTCGGATTCGACTCAGTATTGGACTGTCGCCACACATAATTCCGTCCGTCTGAGCCAAAAATTTTGAATTTGGGCTCATCTTCAAATATGAATGTGTTCCAGAACTCCAAATCCTTGTCCAAGTGGGTTTTGACGAATGTCATCCTAGTCTCTTTATTTTTTGCGCTTATAAAGGGCTTCTTCCGTGATACACGGGAATTAAAGTCATGGTTGTGCAGAACCATTTCCCCATTTCATCCTGCACCTGTTGAATCAATTTTGGAGCCGATAGCTTGGGATTTTCCCTTATTTTCCTGATGATCTTCCGCTCCTCCTGTTCGGTGAAAATCTTGGTTGGTGCCATTCTGCCCTTGTTCTGTATCCGATTTTCGTCGACGAAGCGCCGAATGATGTTGAATACAGTTGTGGTGCTTAGATTAACCATTTTAGCTATTTGGCGATGTGAATATCCAATCTTGAATTGTTCCAGGATGAGATTCCGTTGCTCAATGGTAGTCTGTTTGTCCATAGTCCTTGTTGGCTGGTGGCACCCGAGATGCAGGATATAACTAAACTGACTACGAAGGATTGGTCTATTTATTCCGAAAATAATCAACCTGATGTAAAAAATCCGGGTTTTATGGCACCCAGGTGTCCATAACGCGCCTGGTCCAAATTCTATGTGACCATAAATTAAGGTACTTTTTTTATATAATCCGACCTAGCAAGTGGGGAAACCCCAGTTTATGGGGGTCATATAGTCATTTAGGTGGTTAATATATCTACCTGCCATCGGTCTTTGGAATTTTTGAAAAATATTGGATAATTAGTTTATGGCAAGCAATTACATTTTTTGCTAGACACTGGGTCTTTTGAGCTGTGAGACACTGTATGTGTATATGTGCATGTGGTCAAATATATGCGCGCTAGTTAAAAACATACATATGTATGTATGCATGCGTGTGTGTGTGTTTGCATATAAACAACAACAAAATACAGACATTCTATGTAGAAAGGGAGCAAGAGCGAGAGAGCGAGTGGTGAGGGCGGTCGGTGGGTCGCTCTTTCCGTTCTCCCTCTCTCTCTCTCGCTCTGTCTCATCCGAATAGCGTTCGTCGTAAATTAGCACAGTGTCAGAGGAGACGCAGCAGCAAAAACTGAGAGATACTGTTATAATAATCAGTATTATTGAACAAATACACAATAAAAACAAAAGCAAAATTACAACAACAATAACAGCAGAAGCAACACATACAATGTCAGAAATTGTGTAACAATCGTCGTTTTGTTTTAAATAATAAAATATGAATGCACACATTAAATGTGCATATGGAAATACACACTTAAGCATATACATATATATGTATACATATACATATACATATACATATGTATATATATACATAGATTTGCTAAAATTGATGCGTTGCTGCTGTTGTTGCTGTAAATGTGCTCGTAGTGATAGATAGCTCGGGATTTGGGAAAAATCGATATGATCGATAAACACGATAACAGCAACGCCCAAAGCCACAGACGAGCAGACAAATTTACCGCTTTTTTTGTTTTTGTTTTTATCCAAATTCTCTTTCATACAACAACAACAATAGACGAGGAAGACGAAGACGACGATACAACGTCGGCGATTGTTTATTATATCCAAACTAGCCGCAATTATTTAGCCAAACAACAAAACGGAACTCAAAAAGGAACATCTACTGCAATAAATTGAGGCAAACCCACATTGCCCAGGTTGAGTACATAAGAAGTGAACAAGAGAACAAGAGGAAAGGAAGGGAGACGAAAGCAAAGGAAAGAAAAGGATTAGCGGCGTGAGGAGCGCGCGCGCGTGTTTAACGGACATCAAATCAAATTCAAATCAATTTGTTTGGCAAACAACATACAACAGCAACTTTTTAACAGAACCAAGTGAGTATTTAATAAATACATATATAGCCAAATATATACATATCTGTAACTGTGTGTTTGTGTGTGTATGTGTTTGTGTAGTGAAAAGGATGAAGGAGAGCGTCTCTTCCAGCCATGTTCTAATCTCGGCTGTTAACGAAATTTAGAGAGAGACCCGCTCCGCTTTTTCGGCGTGTGGGCGTGCGAATGTGTGTATGTATATACACAATTATTTTTGTGTGTGTGCGTGTGTGTATGTTAGTTTTCGTTTGACCTTTTGACTCGCGTGTGTCGTGCCAAAGTGACGCAGCCAACGGTTAACATTTAGCAGTTAACAGCGAACAACATCCACCCAGAGTGCAAGTTCACAGATCTTGCAGCAGCGGCAGTGTTGCCAGACTGTTCAAAAACGCACATGCATGATGCACAGTTTAGTCTGTTGTTTTCAAAGCCAAAAGGGGGTGGCATTGTTTGCGCCGCTTGATTTAACCCTTAGCAGTGCCAAGCTTTCGTATTGTATTGTATTTTTGCAAAAGAATTATTACAACTTGTTTTTTTTTTTGCGCTTAAGGGTTGCTACTCTCGTCTGGTTGGGCGGGTGGCTAGCGTTGCTCCTGCTCCGCGCTTCAACGAACATGGGGGATGCTCATTTTTAGTTTTCAACATTTTTTGCTTTTCGGCTTTTTTTTCTTTTCTTTCACAAGGGGTATGTCCTGCTGCTGATGCAGGCAGAGTTCGTTGCCTGTCGCTCTGTGCGTGTATGTATGTGTGTGTGTTTGTGTGTATGTATTACATAACTGGGTTTGGCCGGGAACGCGTGCTTTGTTACAATATCCAACGACAACTACAACAACAGTCATGTTAACGACAGGGCAGGAGCAGGGAACAGGCGAAAGAGACAGAGAAAGAGAGAGGAGAGAGAGTGAGAGTGATGTTAACGCCAGCATAGCACGAAAGCATTGCAAGGACCTGCGCTCAGTAGCATCGCGTGCTTGCGACGTAGCGGGTCTCGCAGCGGCAACGACATATTCAAAAAAAAAATAAATAAAAATACAAATAAAAGAAAAAGAAAAGCTCATCGTACAAGCAATCTCTCCATCTTCACCACAATACAAACGCTCTCTCTCGCTCACGCTCTCGCTCTCTCTACGTACGCCTACACGCAGTTCTAGGTGTGTTGTGTGTGTGTGTGTGTCACAGTGTGTGTGTTTGCTGAGTGGTTTTTGTCTGTGTCTGTAATTCTAAGTTCCAATTCCAATCACATCTCTCTCCTATTCTTACTCTCTCGTCTTGTCTGTGTGTGTGTGTGCGTGCAAAGGAAAAAAGTAAGTTTTGAACGAAAGTTGCTCGTTAAAATGGGCAAAAGCTTCGACTAACCGTTAACTAACCACTGACCAAAGGAAACCTGACTAGAATCAAGAAAGGATTGCTGTTTAAATATTCATTTTAAAATTAATTAAATAAATTAAAAATGTATGTTAAAAATGTTAAATACGTTGGATCTTAGCCACACAAAACAGTTATGCAAAAAAAATTAATAAAAATAATAATTCAAGAAATACTAAATACTCAAAATTGTTGATAATTTTGTTTCCAAAAAAATACATAAACCTAGTTTTGTCAATAATCAACAATTTTTAGTTTGTTGTTCAGTACGATATATGAGCAGAATATATATATATATATATATATATGGGATGTGGGATGTCTTTCTTTATGAGTATATATATATATATGTATATATATATGGAGGGTAGATTTAATTGAAACTAACACACAAAAAGTAACCATTTGAAATGGACCAAGAATGTTACTAACACATCTAGCAAATGGTTTAATCTTGACATCAAATCTTTATTATATTTCATGTGCTGCGCCTGCGTTGGCCTCCTTCTGAACAACTTGAAACAATTCAACAACAACAACTTAACAACAACCATCAAAGTGGACTTTATGATGGCAAATACGGGCGCCACTGGCGTTGATACACAAGCGCAACTAATGCAAAATGCGGCAGCGGCTGCAGCGGTTGCTGCCACAAATGCTGCGGCGGCGCCCGTGCAGAGTGCAGCGGCTGTTGCCGCCGCCGCCCAGCTGCAGCAGCAGCAGCAACAGGTACAGCAGGCGATATTGCAAGTGCAGCAGCAGCAGACACAGCAAGCGGTTGCTGCTGCCGCAGCGGCTGTCACACAACAATTGCAACAGCAACAGCAGGCGGTCGTACAGCAAGCGGTTGTGCAACAGCAGCAACAACAACAGCAGCAGCAAGTGGTGCAACAGCAGCAGCAAGTACAGCAAGCAGTTGTCGCCGTGCAACAGCAGCAGCAGCAGCAACAACAGCAGCAGCAAGTGGTGCAACAGCAGCAGCAAGCGCAGGTGCAACAGCAGGTGCAACAGCAAGTGCAACAGCAAGTCCAGCAGGCAAACACAAATGGCAACACGGGCGGCGCCCAAAACGGCAGCAATGGCAGCACAGAGACTCGCACAAATCTAATAGTCAACTATTTGCCACAAACGATGACAGAGGATGAGATTCGTTCGCTATTCAGCAGCGTTGGAGAAATTGAGTCGGTTAAATTGATACGCGATAAGTCGCAGGTCTACATTGATCCATTGAATCCGCAAGCGCCCAGCAAGGGTCAAAGTCTTGGCTATGGCTTTGTCAACTATGTGCGACCCCAGGATGCCGAACAGGCGGTCAATGTGCTCAACGGTCTCCGTTTGCAAAATAAGACCATAAAGGTATCGTTTGCCCGACCCTCATCGGATGCGATCAAGGGCGCCAATCTGTATGTGTCTGGACTGCCAAAGACGATGACCCAACAGGAGTTGGAGGCAATATTCGCGCCGTTCGGTGCGATCATCACATCGCGCATTCTTCAAAATGCCGGCAACGATACACAGACCAAAGGTGTTGGCTTCATTCGATTCGATAAGCGTGAGGAGGCGACTCGAGCGATAATCGCACTGAATGGTACAACGCCCAGCAGCTGCACCGATCCGATCGTTGTCAAATTCTCAAATACACCGGGCAGCACCAGCAAGATCATCCAGCCGCAATTGCCCGCATTTCTCAATCCGCAGCTGGTGCGACGCATCGGCGGCGCAATGCATACGCCAGTTAATAAGGGACTGGCACGCTTCTCACCGATGGCCGGTGATATGTTGGATGTGATGTTGCCAAATGGTTTGGGTGCTGCTGCGGCGGCAGCGACAACATTGGCCAGCGGACCGGGTGGGGCATATCCAATATTTATATATAATTTGGCGCCCGAAACAGAAGAAGCGGCCCTCTGGCAATTGTTTGGGCCCTTTGGCGCTGTGCAATCGGTGAAGATCGTTAAGGATCCCACAACGAATCAGTGCAAAGGCTATGGATTTGTGTCCATGACCAATTATGATGAGGCAGCAATGGCCATACGTGCCCTCAATGGCTATACTATGGGCAATCGTGTGCTGCAGGTCAGCTTCAAGACCAATAAGGCCAAGTAAAGTGTTGCCCGCACTGCCCCTCGCAACCTCCTCCCCCTGCCCCCACCACAAACAACAACAACATCCATTGCTCCCCCAAAAAAAATATACAACAACACCAAGGAACACACACACTTATCTAGTTTATACACACACTCACAAACACACACACACACACAACTCACTTATATACATATATAAATATGCATGGACTAAATGGTAACTAAGCGCAACAAAAATGTATGTGTTTAACACACACACACACACACACACACACACATTACACACACTATACACACCGAGAGACACATACGTCATGAAACCATGCAACCAGACAAGACATCCTTTTTGTGTGGCGTGTCCTTTGGCTTCAAAACGCGTCTAAACAACGAAAAAGAAAAACAAAAAAACAAAATAAATGAAAAGAAAACGGCGGCTACAAATGTCAGCCGTTGCAATAGCAAAATTCTTCTTAGCATTTAAGTAAAACAAAAAGCAAAAATACAAAAAACCAAAACTAACCTAAACAAATATTTAAAAAAAAATAAAAAACGTGTGTCGAGTGCAATATATATATTTGGTAGACACGAGAAATGGAAAAGAAGATAAACTTCTGGCTGTCCCTATTGGGCGCCCGGACAGGGACAAAAATCCAATTGCAGCCGCAGTCAAATTAGTCGCAAGCAAAGCAAAAAAAAAAATAAAATAAATAAAAAAAAAATGAAAAGAAAACAATAAAAAACAAAGAAATCTACAAAACAAAAATAATGAGATTTAACTAAAAGAAATTAACCTAGCAAAAAGAAAACAAAAACGAAAAGAAAAACAATTTTTTAAAATTATAACTAAGTAAGCAGCAAAGAAATCTTCCAGTAACAAAATGATAAACAAAAACCCAAAGCTGTTAATTACACTCCAATTTTTCTACAACAAAACGAATACCAAAAACAAAAAAAAAAAAAAAAAAGTAAAGAAAAATAAGGAAAAATAGCATAGCAAACGAAAAGTGAGAGAAACAAGCTTAAACATTTTCGATATATATATATAAATATATATATATTTTTTTTTCCTCAGTTTTGAGTCACGGACGTTAGTTTTAGTCTGTTTGTTTTTTTTTCTTCTCTTTTATTTCGACAAGGCTTACAAAGAAGTATTTAAAAGAAACCCATAAAATGCATATAAACACAAGGAGGCTGCTACAGTATTACAAAATGAAACAAAAACAAAAAAAAATGTATGGAATTAATAATTATTATATATATACAATACATACATACACATATATGCATCCGTATATATATATATATATATATATATATATATATGTATATACATTTTAATGTTTTGTGTTTGTTTTTTACATATATTAAACGAAACGAAAGCCAAGCGAAAATTTCAAACAAAACTAACTTCCGACTCGCACACACACACACACACTGACACTCACACTCTTAAATAGATTCACGTAAGCAGCTAGAAATTTTGGGACAAGTGTGCAACATAAAGCAACAAAGAAAAAAATAAAATAAAGGAAAGTCAAGTAATGAATGAAAATGCGAAAGTAATACAATAATTTATGCGCAAATTTGAAACGTTTTACTAAAGTAAATAATTGTTAGTGAATATTATACTATAATATATATAAATATATGTATATGTATATATATTATTACATATATGTATACATATATCTATATATATAACTTATGTACTTTATATAATGTATAGTTCAAGCCAGCAAGTAAGCAGCGTTAAAACCATTTGCAAACATTTTTAGCGTTTAAAAAAGCGTAGCACAAAAACTCAGTTAACTAAAACCAGAACAAGATGAACGACCGGAACATTTTTTATATGTCAGAAAAGTTTGACAACTGAAAAAAAAAAACAAATAAAAAAAAAAACCAAAATGACAGCATTAGCAAAGCGTTTTTCTAGCTATGTAAGTGATCTTTTTGTTAAAAGCGACAAAGAAAAACTAAAAAAAAAAAAACATTACAACAAGTTAACGAAAGAGTACCGTTTGAGACGATAGCTTTTGCACTCTGGTATGGTACACTACCATCCGCAGTACTTCTGAGTACAGTAGTGGTAGTGTACCATATTATCAAGCTCAGTACAGTATATGGTAGAGAATGGTACACTGTGGTACAGTACAAAACAGTGCAGTACATTAAAGTACAGTACACTACCAGTACCGGCACCAGTACCAGTACCGTAACAGGCTGAATGGTTGAAAAACTGTTGTTTCCAATAACTTGAATCGTTTCATTACCGATCCCTTGTCCCCCCATCTCCCCTACACATTATGATCTGTACTCTTTACTTTATCAGTTAAAACTCTTTTCAATTTAACACAAAAAAAACACATTCGGTTTTTGCCTTCATTTTGCGAATTAATATTATATTCAAAAAGTTTAATTTTCTATTGGATTCGGTAAATATTTATATATCTATAAGTTTTGTATGATTTCTTTGTTTCTTTGCATTTGAAAATATTCAAAAAAAAAAAAGAAGAGCGCTCGTAGTTAATTAGAGCCATGCATATTTATTTATAGTATATCAAATGAAAGATACTTATATACTTTATCTAACATGTTTCTGATTTTATTATTATGTACGAAAACCAATCAACATATACATATATATTCATATTACTTTCAATGATGATTTTTCTTTATAGTAGGTACAATATATATATCTAGTTACAATTACTTTATGTCAACTATTTAAGTTCAAACACATACACACACACACACACACACACACACACATGCGAAAAGAATACCTTAAAAAAAGATCCTTAGCAAAAGCAACAAAAACAAAATGAAAAAAGTTATGAAAATTATACAAGTGCAAAGGAAAATGCTTATGTATAAACAATATTCATAATTATTATTATAAATTTTTTTTTATAACAATTTTTTGTTTGAACAAAATTTGCAACAAGAAATCTAGTCAGCAAACTGAAGTAGAAAAGGAAGAAGATAATGAAGAAGAAGAGGCAAACGCGACAAAAAAATGAAAAAGAAAAAAACAAAAAGAAAAACAAAAAACTTGAAAAGAGTCAACAAGTGTAGGCAAAAATAAAAAAATATTTTCAATATACAGTATGAATAATGCAAATTTATAAACTATATTCTAATTAAAACATACCATAAAAACTACCATATAGCAAAGAAAAGAATGAAAATCCCAAAACAACTCATGTTGATCAGCTATACAAAGTTGCGATCCAGCTTAGAAACTCCTTCAAACAATACTATAAATAATATTAAAAAAAAAAAACAAAAAAAAAGCACTTAAATTCTAGCTAAAATTTAAGCATAGCAAAATTGAGCGCGCCAACTTAAAAAAATAACTTGCAAATTTAATTTTTTTTTTTTTTTTTTTTTTTTATATTCACTCACAAAAAGCACATTGAAACTACGCGAAATTATAATTTATTTAATAATTCTTTCTCATTTTTTGTATAATATCAAAATATCCAAAGATTTAGTTTCTCTATAGTTATGTATGCCCCCCTTAGGATACTCACCGGTCTATTGACAGGACACTGTAGACTAAGGAGTCACCTGGCAAAACTGGGTATATATAGTAGCGACCTGTGCAGGTTTTGTGAAAGAGAGGAGGAATCCTCGATACACATCCTGGCAGAGTGTGTCGCCTTAGCTAGAAGAAGAAGCAGCCTTCTAGGGGCGCATGTTTTGAAGTGCAGACATAGAAGACCTCAACCCAACAAAGATCCTCGTATTCGTGCGGGAGTTGGGGCTGATGGAAAAGCTATAAGCTCAGAAGGGGGCACAATAGATCTAATAGGTCGCGGTGCAGTTTTTCCCCCCTAGTAATAATAATATGTATGCCCCGTCGTAACTGTACTAATTTCTTCATAGAAAGAGAGCGAACGAAAAACGTATACGCAAAAAGCAAAGAGAGAAAGCGATTTTTTATTATTTTTTTTTTTTGCTTAATTTTTTGCTTTTTGCATGCAACTGAAATTTGTGTTTATGCTTATGTACATGTTTATGTATGTATTCGTATAGCTGACAAAGAGCAAAAAAAAAAAACAAAAAGAAAAGAAACAATGAAATGAAGAAAAAAAAACTTTACTCAATAAGTGAAATTATGTACTTGATTTTGTTTAATTTATTTTTCAAACTATATTATTTTCCTTTTTTTTTATATAAATATTATGTAATTCTTATACTGTGCAATAGTTTTTAAATGCAGTAGCAGCAGTAACAACAACAATAACAAAACATGCATCTCAGCTAAATTACAATTATAATTTCCTTAAGTAAAAAAAAAAAACGAAAACAAAAAAAAGTAAATGAAACTCAATGAGTAATTGAAGCGAAAGAATCATTTATGTTTATGCAACTTAAATATATTAACATATACAACAACAATATAACAATTATTTTTTCCTGTAATTTTCGCATTAAGCAAATTTGATATATATATTTATATGTAACTATGAAATATATTTAATTTTTTTCGTAAACTTTAAGTGCAAAACAAAAAAAAAGAGAAAACAATGAAAAACAAAGCAAACAACAACAGAAACAAAAAAAAAAAAACAAAACAAAAAACAAACAAGAAAAATATGAATATTATTTATTGTATTTTATAATTAATTTAAATTCAAAGATAAAACGAAATATTTTGATTTAAACGAAGCATACAAAAGAGAGCGCAGTGCGACTGTTGCAACAGAGATGAGCGCAATCTCACACACTTAACACACCCATCCACCCACACACACACACACACACTCACAACAGCAGCGGTGGCACTGCCAGATCTCCCGCTCTCTTTATCAAATATACACATACACACTCACTCTCTGTCTCTCTCTCTCTCTCTCTCTCTCTCTCTCTCTATCTCTTAGAGCCATACTTGCTTTGGAGTTTTAAAAAATTAAAAAAAATTATAATTTGATTTCTTCAGTTATTTTTCTTTCAATTTTTTTTTTTTGATTAACTTTAAACATTTATGTATTTGTTTTTGATTTTAAATTATAATTTTTGTATACCCTACACACATTTATATATATACACATACACGCAGCTCGTAGCCGGCGAATATTATATGTAGATACGTATCTAATATGATGTTAAGGGAGAAATTTGTGTATTCAAAGTGTGTTTATTTTTTTTTAGATAATTTTTGTTTCTTTTCGATGAATTTCTTTCGATTTTTTTATGATTATGTTTATTACTCATTAAATTTATGTTTAATTTTATGATTTTTATAATTTGATTGATTCGCCAAGAACAAGCAGCAGCAGCAACAATAATAATTTTTCAATAAAAACACTTGATAAATTTTTGCATAATTTTATCGTTTTTGTTTTAATTTTTTTGTTTTTGTTTCTCTTGCGTCACCTATGTTATTTTTCGGTTTATTTCTTTTCCATACTTTATACTTTATCTATTTGTCTCTTTGCCCACCCCATTCTTAAACGTCCAATGTGTGTCCCTGCCTCACAGTCCCCCCCCTATCCAGTCCTATACTCAGAGCAACACAACCCACAGAAATGGTGGTCTGAGCCCCAAGAGCATATATATTTATATTTATATATGGCAAGCTAGTCAAGCCAGGAACTTAATGATCTCAAAAGCTCGGAACATTCCTATACATACACACACACACACGTATTCATTTTGGAGGCGTGCCTAGTCAAAATCGCGGCCGTACTTAGTTGTAATTTATTTCGTTAATTCTCTTTACTGTCAACAAAACACACAACACACACACACACACACACACACACACATATATATACATATATGTATATATATATATGTACCACTCTCTGTCTCTCTCTCTCTGGCACATTCCACGAACCGGGACTTAACGAAAATGGACGAAGAAAACTTGCAAATTTTACCAAATGCGATATTATCAATTTTGTTTTGTGTGCAAACGAGAATACTTTGATTTTAATTGAATTGATTATAAATTATGATTAGTTAGCTTTAGTCTTACGCTTAGTTAACATATAATCTATAGTAATATGCGCTTATTATTTATGTGTATATATATATATATATATGTATATAGAGATATATATATATATATATGTATACTTATTTATACAACAACAGAAACAAGAAAAATGTTCGTTCAACCACAAAATACTTGCGAGAGAATACGGCGAACCTAAAACTTTAACCAAAAACATAAATGAAAAAAAAAAAATAAAATAAAATAAAAATAAACAAACTATAAAACAACAAAAATTTTAAATACCGAACCAGAACAGCATAACATACACAATACGCGAGATATACAAATATATATAATGTATAATATTATACATGCAAAATGATTATGATTACGAAGATACTGATGAAGAAACTATTTAATTTTTTTATTAACATATTTATATCAATTAATTAATAATATTTATTCAAACATTTCAAATGATATTTCAACAAAAAATGGAAAACAATGCAACAAAAAAAAAAAAAAAACCAAAAATTAATATTATAAATGTATTTGCAAAATATATGATTATGAGTTTTTCTTGCTTTGCATATCAAATACACAAAACTTGGTTCAGTTTGTCCTTCAGTTCAAGTTTTCTTTTTCCCCACCATCAGTTCGTTTCTTCCGTTTTTTTTAGCTTGATTTCTGTGTTGTGTTTCAGTTACTTCATTTCTTTCCTCTACGTTCTTTTTCGCCTTCTTCATCATTTTCTACATTATTTTCATTTAGAGTGCTCTCTTTTTTACTCTTTCAACTGCTGTGCTGCCTCTAGTTTTGTCTAGCCGCCTCAGCTGCATCATTTCCAATTCTTATGCTTGGTTATTTTATGTTTTCTCTCTTTCTCTCTCTTTTGCTCTCTTTTTTTGTCTTCAGTTGTACTCTGCGCTCTTTCACTCGCTCTCGCTCTCTTTGTTGTACAACCGCCCGACGCTCTTTCAGGATACTCGAATATAGTATTTTTTTACAGTTCGTTTTGGTTTAACATTTGTGATTTGTAATAATTGAAAGTTGATTCTTTTTTACAGTGTAACTTGTGTTATCTCTCATACACCCAAACACACACATACACACACACACACACACACACACACACACACACACACACACACACTTTTTCTCCAAATTGTTTCAGTTGTTGTGCTACAGTCTCCAAAATACCAACAAAGTGTTCCGTGTTTATACAATTTTTATAAAACAAAAGCGTATATGTTTTTTTGCGCAGTGTATTTACATACGACTTGAGTTCATTATGATTTAGTGTGTAAGTAAGCCACAAAAAAGAAAAAAAAAAACATAAAAAATCTCGAAACTTCTTAAGATTGAATTCTCATGCAAGTTGACCCTTGTTTAAGCTCACAATTGATTTCTCTCAGTGTAAATGCCTAGTATATGCATTTAAAATTGATCTTATGGAACAAAAAAATCGTATCGTAGTTTTCATTTATATATTTTTCTTTCATTTCCTTGTATTTTCGAATCGTTCTTTGCTCTCCCATCTTTTGGTTCATTGTTGTTGTAGCTGACGCAAGATTTTTATTGTTTATCTGATAAGATTTTATTTCCGGTAAGTAGAGAGCAAAGAAAGTTGAAAGTTGAAGAAGCGGCTAACTGAGAGATAACACGGCTAATACTTACTTACTTATATAACCCAAAACATTAACGAGGCTAATATACTATATAATTTGATTTGCTTTCCTCTGTACAGCGTTAAAAATTTGAATATTTGATTTTCCTCAATAATAAACATCGCCCATGATGAGTTTTAACTTAAAAAATGTTTTTTTATACTCTTTTTTCTATTGTAGCTAACTACATAAAAAAAAAACATAAGCGAAAAACAACCGAAAAAATGATAAAACCGAGCCGAATGCATATTTCTAATTTGTTTCTTTCTCTTGATTTATTTTCAGGCGTGTGTTGTTGTTCGATTTTCAATTGAATTTGACATTTAACATTTACATTACTTACATATTTACCTTGAATTAGTTAATTAATTAATTGCAAACAAAAAAGAAGAATAACACAATAATTACTGACTGTATAATTATATATGATTCATTCGATATTGATTGTAATTACATACTTATTTACATATGCCTAATACACATGTATGTATATATGTAACTATGTGTATATAAATATATATATATATATATATTTATATATAGATATCCTTAGTCCTGTCCAGTGTACTGTATGTACATATGTGTGTGTGCGTGTATTCTCTGTCCCTGTGCCATGTACATACGTATACATACAGACATATGCACATACATACATGTACCCACGACCCATATACATGCATACATACTTACATACATACATACATACATACATATGTATTGCCATATTGCATACATACTCGTATTATAAACACACGATTATATATTGTAATTTCCTTGATTTATTTACAGTTTCCGCAGCAAAAAAAAAAACCAAAAATCAAATCCAAATATGAATAACTCTTATAAGTTTTGAATAAAACATCTTTAAAGTAATACTCCCCCTACACAACCCAAGAACAAAAAATTAAACCTAAAAGTAAAGAAATCTTGAATTTTCGGCATGCCGAATCTGAAATATCCTTGCACAATTCAACACACTTAAAAAATCTCTGAAATCGCCACAAACCTTTCCAAACTTGATTTAATATTCCCATTCGGGAACAATGTGATATAAATGTTCGAATTGCTCGACTTTCTTGAAATTTTCAATTAAATTGATTATTGTTAAAAAACAATTCTGTACTTAAAAGTATTTATTAACTTACACAACAGTTGCAAGGGTATGAGAAGAGAAGAAAATACAATTGTATAGAAAACCAATATTAAGCTAAACAATTTTTGTTTTCGTTGTAAACCTCTGCCGCTTTCAACGCGCCTCGGTTTGACACATATACAAATGAAAGAGAGGATTGTGTGACAAACCGAAAAGTGTTGTAGTTTGTATGTTTTTTGTGTTGTCATTTTGAGTTAGCGTACGCATCAAGATCTCCAAATAAAAACGAAACCACTACTTGTCTAGTACATGCCACACAATACCGATTCCAAAACGACAAGCCACCAATATCAAGATGTCGCTGAGCAAACAACTATAAAGCACTATCCACCACCAAAAAAAAAAAAAAAAAAACACCGATATATCATTTTGCGAATCGCTAAAAATAATAATTCTCGTCTTTAGTTACATTTCAATATGATCTCGAATTTCTTGTTGTATTTTTGTATATTCTGTGCAGTATTTGTATTGTATATAATACCAACACATCATGATTTCTTTCAGTGTAACTCTATTTGTTTCTCTCTCTCCCATAAAAACACACCTTCTCCCTCTCTGTCTCAATGTTTGTCTGCCTCAGACTCTCGTACGCTTATCCTTAGCAAGAACAGAAATAAAAAAAAAAAAAACAAAAAAAAACAATAAGAAGAAAATTTATGTTTTGCGTTTTAGCATCATATTTTCATCGGTTTTGGATTTGGATTATCGATTATTGTGATCTAATAATTTTAAGTTTTATATGAACCACATAAAATATACTCGTAATAACTTACTTATTATCTATATGTATGTACAAAAAAAAACAAAAAAAAAAAAAAGAAACTAAACATGCCAGTGACTTAATATTAAGTTTAAGCTAGAAATTTTTAAATTTACGGTTTTCGGTTTCGGTTTCGATTTGATTTGATTTGTTTTGTAGCACCAGCACCGTTTCAACGGTGTGCCCAAATAGACTCGGTTTGGGGGGCCAAGTATACGCCCACCATCACCCAAAACACGTCCTCCCAGCCATTATGCACCATACTATCTATACTAAACCAATAGATCAAGATTTACGTAGTGGGTTCTTACTTTTATTTCGATACTTTTTTCTCGATTCATTGTGTTTTGTTTTTGTTTTTTTTTGCGTGAAGACCAGAATATTGGGTTTGCAGAGCTGTGAATTGAGTTCATTTGTAGTTGGTTTTGCCAATCCAAAATTCACATATAAATAAGTATATATATATATATATATATTATTATATATGTATATATATATAGTTTATTAATTGTGAAGCTTGAATAGAACGCAAAACGTTCAAATGACTTAACTTGAATTTATGTTCGAATATTTTCGTAAATTTAATTTTGCATTCAATTTGATTTTGTTTCTCTTAGTTAACGCTAAGTTTTAATGAAGCACATGCCAAACAGTATTAAAAAGTGATATTTATATACATATGTATGTAATCATATTTTTATTTATTTTTGTTTTGTTTTTTTTGTTTCAATTTCATTTTGAGGTAAACAAATTTCTTATCATTGTTTTTCTTTAACTTGACATTGCTCATAGTGTGTTTTGATTTTATTCACGTTCAATATTGCCTTTTTTTTCGTATATAAGATATTTGTATGGTTAGGTTCCTAAAAGAAATCATTAAGCAGAAACTGCCAAAAAAAAAAAAAAAAAAAAAAAACAATAATAACAAAAAAAAATGTTATGTAAAAATTAGGTTGCCAAGCATAAGAGGCAAATAAAAGATAAATGAGAAATAAAACCAAAGACTGAGACCCAACGCAGCTCAACGCAAAATAAAAAACTGAATTAAGTTAAATGTGAAACAAACAAATCAACATCTATAGATCGAAAACAAAAATCAAAAACTTTGTACGTTAAGAGAACTGTGATAAAATAGAGAGAGAGCTCCGAAAATTAGCACTAAAAGTAGATTATAAGTTTTTTAACAACAACCACAACAACAACAAGAAGTATGTGTTTAAATTTAAGCAACGTTACAACGATAACGATAACGATTACGATAGCGATAACGATAACGATGACACTAATAAAGAAAAACTCAAGAGTACATGAAAAGTAATGAAGGTGAAGATGAAGATGAAGATGCAGATGAAGAATCGCAGCACTCACCAATTGGGCGCGATCTTGTCGAGCGACGCGTGCTGCCAGGTTGGCCGCAGCGGTTCCAGCAGGAACGAAACGGGCATGCCATGTATATTGCCCGACTGCGAGGTACTGTGCAAATTGATGTCCGCGTGCGCATCGATCCACACCAGCGACAGGTTCGGCGTGTGCTGCAAATGACCCGCCACGGAGCCTGCCACGAGCCCAAGCGTAGCCCAAGCACAAATCAAAATCCCAAAAAAAAAACCAAAAAAAAAAAAACCAAAGTCAAGGATACTGTGTGGCAAAGCCGTTTTACCACCCACCAAAGCCGATGGCATGATCACCGCCAATGGCCAGGAACTGTGCATTCTGCTGCAGCATCAGCTGCACCTGGCCAATTAACGCCAGATTGCAGGCCATGAAATCCGCATAGTTTCGTATGTGATAATAATGTTGGCGCTGCTGCTGCAGCAGTGTCTCATCCACGGCATACGGCAGATTGCCATAGTCCGTTATCACCAGGCGCTCTGCAACAAATAGATAAAAGTCAATCGAAAAGCGTAACGTATTCAACATATACATATATCTAATAAAAAAATCCAAGCTCGAAACAAAAATCTATTCGCCTGTTATTATTATTTCTTTTTACCATTGCAGAGGTTATTATTGCTGACCCGAGTCCCTTTAAGTATATATGTACATCCTTGATCAGCATGTTGGCTGTTTGCTCTCTTAGTCTTATGTTTTTGGATAATTTCGCCAAAATTTCAAAAATCATACCACATATATGAATTCTTGTATGAAAAACAAACTCAATGGAAACATTTAATGCTTCTATCAAAGAGGAAAAATCTAATGATTTTTTCAAATTTATGATGAAATCAAATGTTATGTTATATTGTATTAAATTGATAACAATTTTTATGTGTGGTTGGGTGGACACCGGTCTGCAAGGTAGATATGTAATCGTCGGCTTGAGTTTTGATTTTTGATTGGGTGATTTTATTTTGCTCACCATCGCTGTTTTGCAGCACCTGACGCAGTTTATTCTGGCGCAGCAAATCGGGCGCCAGCTCAACGCCCTGCTTTGCCTGCCCCTTGGCAAAGGGCACACCGATGATGCCCAGGGTTTGTGCCTCAGGCCCAGCCGCAGCCGCAGCGCTCAGAAAGCGTTGGTGCTGGAGGCACTTGATTACTATTCGTCGCGTTGTCCACCACATGGTCGCAGGTCTCGATGTTTTGTGTCTCGTTTGCCCAGCTCTTCACAACTGAGGCGTCATCTCACTTTCGCCGCTCTCAACTATCATCTGGCGCTGGAGCTGACGCTGACGCTGACGCTGAAGCGGACGCTGATAATTATCACTTCTTAATGACGGTTCCTCAACGCCCCGCACTGCCCCCAGATAGCGTCACCCAATGGCTGATAAGGCCGCATCGCGATAACCTTGATCCTGGCCATACAACATACTACAGTGAGCGCATAAAACTTGCAAACGCATCAATTCCGAAATCATAAACATTTATTTTTATTTATTTATTATATAAACACTTTTTTTTGGGGGATAAACTAAAATTGAACAATTTTCCAAAATAAGTACACGCAGATATATATAAATATTATTTTTTAAATAGAAAATATAATTGAATAGGAAATGTATCTTTAAAAAATATATTAGACTGAAAGTGTTGAATGCATTGACTTCCACACAATTCATTTTCCGTTTTGAATTTCTCAGTGCTTACTGTAGCTGCGCACAAAGTGCAACATAATTTGTCATTTGAACACTCTCCGCAGTCGTCATTTGCAGGGAAGTGAGTGAATAGTATTCATTGAATATGCACAATTTCTCAGCAACATAGTTGATTTAACTTTGAACCGAATTTGCGTTTTTTTTAAGTGTAGATATTTTCACTTCGAGTCTACCAATTTACGAAGTGTGTGATGTTTCTTTATGTGTTCTACTCGCAAAAAGTATTATAGTATTATTATTTATTATACGCGTAATATGGATGACTCTCACGATTAAAGATGACTATGTTACGTCAAAACGAAATACTTCGGAATAGCAATTATCTGTCGGAAAATTGGTATTTACAAAACCCATGCCAAAAAAGACATCATATATATTTGTCATATAATATAGTTGGCAATACCGAATGTAGTTGTGAAAGGGTATTTAGCCATCGTCAGCGCAAAATACTAGTTTGTTTTTATTTATTTGTTTATTCTAATGTATTAAATTTGGCATATCAGCCTAATACTTGCTATAATTAGTTTTCTTTTGTTGGGTTCCAAGCGAAGATAACCTATTGCATATCCATCAGATGGTTCAGTTAAGATTAAGTTCTGCCTGAAATATCAAATTTTTGCATTGTTTGTTTTTTAAAGTTTAAAAGTTGGTCAGAAAAACATGCACAGTGGGATGTGCAACTCAAAATTTGAGCAGACATAATATGACAAGCAAGCAAATTTAAGTAATTCATTTGAGGGACAGTTTTCCGTGAATATTGGATGAAAATGTTAATTTCGGGGGACCAACAATTTATTGGCAGAGCTGCTTAAGTGAATCGAAATATGGCATCTGATTTCTGCTCGGTTTGTTTTTACCACAGTAAACGTCATGGGAGCTTTTCGAATTAAGAGTCTTGTGTGTGTGCAAAATTCGCTAAAAGCTTTACATCACGAGTGCGGATTTCGGCTAATATTACCCTAAAAGTAGGCTTCCTTTTTGACACTTTAGCGGATGCAGCAACCGAAAAAGTGCTGCTGGTGCGTGTATATGCTATCTTGAACAACAAGCTGCAAAGCCCGAAGGCTGAAGGCCATAGCCCAGTTTTCATACGCTTGCAATTATTCCATATATTTTAAGTATTCAATGCTGAGCGACTAATTGTCTTTTAATCTGTCATGGGTATTTCCACACATATAAAATATAATTATTAAGTCTGAAAAGCATTTGAATATATATTCACACAATTAGATATTAATACAAATATTTATATATAAAGTTGCATTTAAAATATTAACAGTGCTACTCTTCACGTCACTTTTGATCTCATCTCATCATTTTTCTGTTTGCTTATAGCACCTTAGGAGCACTATAGAATTCCCTAAGACTTGATTTTTTAGCTTTTGTTGTCGCTGTATCTTAAGGATTTCACAGGACTATGCGTTTTTGTGCGTTCAAAATCATAATAGTGCATGGGAAACATTGCGAAAAGTATGAGGGTACCATCTATTGACAAGCTAGGGTTACAAAAGGTTCGAATTAATATTTGCTATCAATTTAAATAAATTTTTGATTGGCACTTTGCATTTGTCAAAAAAAAAAAGAAAATGGAAAACAAAGTGGGTTATTTCTCTGGAATGCCATACAAATTTTCCGACGGCTTATTGAGTTGACTTGAGTTTCAACCCGCAATCTTATTGATATTGAGGTGAATAATACAACATTTATAAAATAAATTAAAAAATTTTTTATTTTCTAATCTTGCTGATCTTCTATTGATCCCATTTTCTTGGCATGGAGTATCGGTAAGTCGTGCATAGCCAGACGGCCTGGCTTGCTTTAAAGTGGCTCAACTTAGTTTTGGCGTTTTGCCATTATGCACTATAATAAAGTGGCATCCATGAGCATGAATGTGGCCCGGGTACCGCCCAGTCCTTTCTTGCCCTTGTCCATTGAGTTCCTTATCGTTTGGGGCACCGCCCCCTGCGTCGTGTCCCACTGTCAAAGCCGCTCATCACTCAGCACCGCAATGGCAGTCATTAATCAAACAGCTCCAAAACACCCGCCCACTGACCAACAACAATGACACCCCCCTCACCCCTGGAGCCCCTAAACCGTTCTGGCCCACAATAACAATGATACTCGTCGCTTTTGGGTTTTTATTGCATTTGTCATCAGAGATAGACGCAGCACTTTCGGACCCTATGTTTCGATGCGTAGCATGCAGGACAAGGTCGACCCTCGTCCCTCGTCCTAGGCGTTGTCTCCTGATTTGATATGAGCTGGCGTTTTTTTTCCTTGACCGGCACATTATTAGTGTGTTCTGATTGTTGCGACGGCGACGGCGATGGTGACGGTGACCACCGGATACCCCTCGTCTCCCATTCATCAGCCACTGCTCCAGCTGACTTATGCACTGTAATCGCGATAAGTCACCACAAAAGTATCCAGACAATATCCAGAAGATTAGCCCAAATGCCATATGAGTTCCGGCTCCATACAGTTTGACCAAATAAACTGAATTTACAGTTGTGTTCACTTTTGAAGTCACTTACTTTTTAGCCAATGGTGTCTAGTCTGTCGAATCAATTTGAGAATAATTGCAAATGTGAAGAGGGCGAGGATTTTGAGGGGGAATAAGCCGGTCAACATTGGTGATAAATCGGACAAACATTTGTTCATAAAATTCGCTTTTATTTCCGTTTGCACTTGAAATCCACACGAGTTGCTTCAATGTAAGCCACATGCCACATGCCCCTTGCATTTTTCATGCTGCTCGGATCCACAGCGTCCGCCATCAGTCATTCTGGCGAACAGCTAAGGGAGGAGGCAATCAATCAGCTGTAGGAACTATCAGATCAAAAGCTTACTTAGCCGATTTGCTTAGCTTGTCTGATCCACTGCGTAGTCAAACTATGCATTAACTGAATATATATATGTGTATATATTTGTATATGTATGTACCATAAATTACTAGCCATCTAAAATCGAATTTATTACGTTCATTGTCAAGCGAATTGCAGCAATTAAAGCCATCGCTCATGCGACAGACTCGATGCACTGCACACTACAAATGTGGCACTCACAGATACTACGCATATATGTTAACTTCCTGGCCCATATCCCCTATACTCTTAACTTACACATACACACAAGCACGTCTTCAAATACGCAGTTATGACTTTGTCCTTGCACGGAGACAATGTGACGACAGGCGAAGGTTTCCGTTCGTTGCCCGTGTATGATGGATGGACTATGCAATATCCTGTAATTAATATGGCACTTCACCTGATATCGAAATTTGCGATCTGTATGCGTCTCTCTCTCTTTCTATTTTTAAGTATTTGTTATTGCTTTTTTTGTATTGTGCTTTGCATTGCATTCGTAAACGTTAAACGTTCAAAATTGTAGGGTACAAAAAGCGCTTGCTTAGTTTTGCCTTAAGTCGTGAGTATGTTAGTTTGTGTGTGTGTGTATGTGTGTGTATTTGGGGAAGATGAGAAATTTAATTTGAATGTGTCTCAGTGGACAAATCAAAGTTAACGAAGCGCCTGCTACAGCAACCACAACAGGCAAAACAAGAAAAGCGCTGAAAAGCGCGCACCAAGAAACATTGAAAAATCAGCAACAACAATAACAAGAGCCTGCCACCAGCGGTACACGAACACGTAACACAATGCCTTTGAACACAAATACCAGTCCCGAGATTCCGACTAGGATATACCCTGCACCACACACAGACCAAGTTCAACTAAAGTGAAATACAGCACAATATGTGACGGACGGACAGACGGACCGGCGTAAGTTCGACTGTGTGTATCTCAAGTGATGATGGAGACGATTCCTTTTTCTGTGTACTGCAACCATTTCTGTTTGTGTACACCTTACCTTTGAGCGACAACCAAAAGTAATTAAGTCCCCCCAGTTGCAGCACATCAATTTGCCAAAGTACGCCCAAAAAAATGGGCCAAGCTGTATAGAGTGTATTGAGGAGTAGAGGGGGGAAGCAGAGAGTACCAAATCGTGTACAATATGCAAATATCTTGCGCCTCAATAGCTATCAATTACGTCTGACGTGCGAGGATCTTTGTATTTATGCAGAATGGCCAAAACCAACTGGAAGCTAATTGGCAGCGAGACAGAGGCGAGCTGCAATGGCAGACAGACATGAACAGCAAATGTCATTTGTCAAAATCTGGCAGTTAAAAATAGAGAGAGAGGGAAAGGGATGGAGATGGGTTTCTTTCGGTGTTGACTGTTGCAAGCACGTGCAGCTGCCAAGCCAATAAATAGTTGTTTAAGGCCTTAAGGAACCCCGTTGGCCATTTGGCAAATGCAGCAGCTTCAGCAGAATGTGTGCAACAATAGGGCATGGCCATGATTTGCTGCATTTGCTGCTGTGTTGCAGCATCAGCAATTGCATGTTGCAGTTGCTTGATTTGTGTGCATCTGCCTTCAAGGCCAAGCGACTTCCTGATGTCACTCGTAAAAATATATGCTTCAATTCAATCTCTTGCGATATTCAATATTAAGTGTTGTATGAAATGCATTCATCATTCAATTACTCAAGCAATTGGTTTAATTAGTCTCGTATTTACTCATAAACATGGCACATTTAAATCTAACCGTCATTATGTTAATTACCCAATGTTGTATTTACATATACCAATTCTGTTAAGCAACTTTGTTAATCGATATTTACAATCATGAAGCAACTCTGCTGATCGAGCAATAAGAAACATCGATAACAGTTAGCCTCCCTTTTCTGAGCGACGACCGAAAAAGAACTTATTACATATTCCCATTTAAGGGTGTTCGACGTACCTAAGATAAATGATTTTTTTTTTTTGGTTGGTTTCAAATTCAAGCCAATCTTTTGTGATGGGTATTTTTTTGAAGTGGATCGAGCTGCACTGACTGGATGCCATTGGGACGTGCCGGGTCGGCTGTTTTATGGCCGGAGGGCGCAATTCCCCTTTGCTTTATGCATCCTTGTCAGCAGTTTACGCGGCGTTTGGCCATTTGCTTTAATTGTTTATGACCCAAATGCCAAAGAGCCAGAAGCCATCAGGCTGCCAACAGGCACAGCCCTATATAATAATGCCACATTGCTTTAATGCTATACACATTACTCTCTGAGGCAAATCACTTCCTAGCCCCAAGCCAGCATTGTACCGAGTTGAGCTGTGCTCAAGATATATTATTATGAACTGTTTATAATCTATTAGTGGTTGCGGTAAACTTGTAACACTTGCAACAACTCGTTTAAAATAGCGATATAAAAAATAGCTTCCAAGTACGTCTAAAATTTAGCACTTTTTTTAAAATATAAAATTGGTCACAGCTCGGCCATATCGTAGCACATCCTGGCAAGTGGTTTGGTGACTCCTGCGGTTCGAACATACCGTGTCCTTTGAAAAAAGGCAGGGATATGGAGACATGGAGAAATATTATTGTGCAAAGAACATTCATAAAACATAAATACAGCACGGCTGTATCTTTAAAGATCTCGAAGAATCAAACATTTTTAAGCTGACATAAAGAAGGATTATCGATTCAAGAAAAAGATTTGAGATAAAATTACACAAAGGATTTGGTCAGTAAGAATGAGATAAATTGCACTTGACCCTGATCAAGCGCACCAGGAATTTCGTTTGGAGCACAGATAGTCATTGGCATACTGATTGTAATAAGACAAAAAAAATTTCGAAAGTCCTTTGACTAGTTTTGTTCCAAATTTAAAAGCAGTATTAATCTAGAGGCCAAACCTTGATCAAGGATATTGCTGATGAAGAAGAATATTTACGATGTGCGATGTTTATTTCAAATAAACAATAATTTTAATTTCTTCTTTTTTTTCTTATTAAATACAAATACACTTCACAAATAATTAACATTCTCATTTTCTTAAATATGTTTTCTTTATGAAATATTTCTTATTAAGTATACAAAGTGTTATTAAGTAATCAAATGGTAATAAATCACTACAATAAAATTAAACAAAAAAAAAAAAGAAAATAAATAAATGCAATAACATCGATGTGTCGTTGTTACGTCGATACTTCGTCCAGCACTACTTCACGACCAAGTTATAATTATAATATATTAACAAATAAATAATATTAGTAAAAAACGTTTCATTTTGTTTATTTGACCCACCCATTGAAACTTATTACTGCCTTGAACCAAATATATTTGTTTCCTTTATTCATTGAAATTTAGTGTATATATTTGTTGTTATAATTCGATTTGATATTTGTAGTACACGAGTATATATAATATATGTATCGCTTGCTTACTCGCGCACTTACGTATATACTTTTGGTTGTATATATGTATGTATAAATATTTATTTAAAAGTTTTTTGTTTACTTCGTACTTGTACATTATGTAAAATACAAATTGACAAATACATATGCATACAAACTTGCAATGTAATATTTAGAGAATGTATACACAAGTATTTGTATTTGTTTCTGTGTGTGTGTTTTTTTTTTTTTTGTTTTTATCATTTTGAAGATAAGAGACAAACACTTAGTACTACCCATTTAAATTTGGAGCACGCTTTAAACTAATATTTGGTGTTCCACGGCTCTGATAAACTGTTGAATATATATCACACACGAATAGTTTACGAACCTTTTGAAGATCCGGATTATGTAGCTGTGACTCTTTCAATACTTTCGGTACACGTTGCTTTTGTTGCTGTTTAACAACTTACTCTTGAGTTTATATTGGAGTTTTGCTTGCTTTAAAATATTTTTATCGAGCCATTACCAAAACTGAAATTATTTTATACTTGGTTTTTGTGCTAAGAGAATTCTTTTGGTGCCTGTCAACTTATTAATTGATCAGTTTATCAGAGCTAGGGAATACCCAAAATGTGCCTTAAAATTATACTTTTTATTTACTCGGGGACGAGTTTTAATATGCATTTTGTTTTTGATTTAATTGTTGTAGTAGCAATTTAGGTCAATTAGTTGTTCCGCAAAGTTTGCAATAGACTTTGGTTTTTTATTTTTATTTTTATATCATACAGATAAGAACCTTAAAATATATATATTTAAATATATATTCGTGTATATATATATTTATATAACATTAGTTTATTCAGTTGGATGGGTTGTTTATTTGTTTAAAGCTTTCGTTAGTCATACATTTGGTTGTAGTTGTTCTTGTTCTTGTTCTGGTTCTTGTTCTTGGTCGAAAGTAAGCACAGTTACTTACAAATTACGTCATCTAACATGTGCTTAAGCTTCATTTCTATATATGTAGTTATAGATAGAGATAGATAGAGATACATATGTATATGTTGATAGATAGATAGACAGACAGTTTTTTAGAAAGAGTAACGCCTCTATGCGAAAGACAATAAAATGAACTACGAGAATATTGAGGGGCAGCCGTTGAGCCCAGATAGTTTATGGTATAGGCTATAAGTAAGGTTATAAGATACAAATACAAGATACCATATTTCTATTTCTACAATCTATGCACTATGCAAATGAAGGCAACACCTCTGTGAAGCAGAGGGGGTCAAATTGACTTTTAAGACATTCAAACGGCTTGTAGCATTTGCATATACGCAAAAGCGCAAAAAACAAGCCTGTTTTAAGCCTGAATAAATAGATCAATAAAAATAAAATCTCCCAAGCCTACCAAATTGAAGTTTAAACGAAAAAGTTGCGCGTTGCAGTTTAATTGAACGAATTGGGCTTATTTGTTTATAATTTGGCGTACGAACAAACAGTTCACCGTGTTTGTTTTATTCCTTTGATTCGAGTGAGTCCCATTCTCCTTCAATCCATTCGTTGGAGCTCAGATTTCCTTACCTTTGTTCGTTGGAGTCATTTCCGTCTGTTTGACTCGTTATAATTTATGTCTCTCCCATTCTGCTCCTTATGACGGATTCACACAGAGTGACATCAAGCATCAATCATCAATCATCAATTTTGATTTTAATTTAACATAATTTCAGCATTATTCTGTTAATATTCTCGATCTATTCCGTTTCCCATTGGACTCAAGCTGATCGCGTCAATGAAATCTAATATCTATATTTAGGATATAGCGTAATATGTACTCGTATTTGGGATATTTTGAGCTTATGCTTATTGTTTTTTTTTTTATTATTATTTTGTTTTTTTTTTGCAACAAAACTATTTGCAGAACCAGCTATATTCATTTGTAATACTAAGTAAACATTTAGGTATATTCTTATTTGTGGATATAACGAAATCAATTTGTGTGTGGTAGTTACCAGCTGGGAGACTGTTACGAGCATATATTTATAGAATAGAATAGATTTTAGATATTTACTAGTTAATAATACTATAAAATATATATGTATTTATTTAGCGCATGGCTGACAAAAGCTGCCTAGCGAAAATGTAAACCGTTCAGTTTTATAGCAATCAGCATTCGTTGCTCGAACAGAAGTGAACTGCTACGTGCCTCATGTGATTCCAATTGGAGAAATATGTTTTGGGATTCCATTGAATGGATGACGACTAAATTGTATTACGATAGATACAACAGCCACTTAGTAGAGACAGCGATCAAATAAGAGCGAGAGAGAGAGAGAACAATTAATAGAGAGAGGGAGAGCGAGAGTGAGAGGAGAGGATCGGAGAGGAGATGTGGTAGATGTTAGCTGTCTCGCTTAAGTAATGCGTAGTTTTGAGTTTAAAAACACGTTGTAAATAGTAGTTGTTGCAATTTGTTGGACAGTGTTGTTGTTCTTATCAATTGTCAATCTATATTCAATGCTTCTTGATCATCTTCTGCGCTCTACTGACACTTACACTTACTGCCTACCACCTGCTTACTTACTCACTGACTTATTTCCCATTCATTGTGCACTCTCACACTCAATACAAATACACTCACTCATTCACACATTCACACACATTCGGACTCAACTCATCTCTCTTGAATGTATCTAAACCTGCTCGGCGCTCTCATCCAACACCATCGAGTGCAGATCCATGGCGGAGCGCGTCTTTCGGGGCGCTCTCGGCATCAAATAGTGACTCGTGCTGGCTCCAACGAAGACTGAATTCTGGCGAGGCCTTGAAGCGTTCGAGACATGCGATGCGTAGCCTGCAACGAGATATAAAATGTGCTTAGGTTAAAGTTTAATAATAATTAGTAAGTGCTGAATTATTCAAGTCAAGTTGTGAGGCAAATAGGAAAGGTTAATTTGTTGTCTGTCGAGTCATTCTACGACTTCAAACTGCCATAACGTTCTCATTCACACGATCTGAATGCATTCACTTAAACAATAGTATTATCTTGACATCTTATCCAATTGTCACCTCAATAATTGCGTTGAAAAAGCCAATTGCCAAACGTACAGTTTCAGGAAATGTTTTCATATTATTTATAATTTATACATTTGTTGTGCAAATGTACACACAGACAAAACAAAAAACTTTTTGCTGGCGCGTCGTGCTTCTATTTTAATTACCATTTCTCATACCCAAATTGAGTTGCTTAAGTGTGTGTGTGGTTGTGCGTGCTATTGCCGGAGCACAGAACCCAAATCGGATTCGCAGCATCCTCGAGAGCCGACAAATGGCAATAAAATTGTGTTGTTGTTTGCCTCCCTTGCCCCCCAATGCCAGCCGCTTCAAGCATGCCAACCCCAACTGTGCAACTTAATTGTGTGGCAACTCATTAAGAGTCCAACGAAAATGATGCACTTAAAACAGATGACTCGCCTCGACTAGTACGCATTCAACATAGTATTTATATTATACATTTTATAGGCAATTTACTCTCACACTCTTTCCCCCTGACTCTCAGCTTTTTGCTTCTTTTTCTGCTTTTTAAGGCTCTCTGTCTCTCCCTCTATTCTTTTCTCTCTGCTTAAACTGAGCTCCCCCTTGATAACGTGTTATTTGTACAGGGTATTAAAAATGGGTGTAAGTATTACATTTAGTCCTCAATAAATGATGAGTAAAGTATTTGCATTCTTGCGAAAGAATAAATCATGTAATTTTCTAAAGTAAATATTGTTCACAATACTAATCAAATTCGTACACATTTAGTATAAGCGATTAGTTTACTCAATACTTAATTAATTTGCCTCATCGATCCATTAAGTATGATATATGTGGGATATCTTTACATAATAAATACAACATTGAGTTTTCCCCCAAGCCTGTTTTACTTTAATAAAGATTATATCTTAAATACTATTATAGATTAATCGTACAAACACTGTTAAGAGTTGCTTAAAAGTTTCAAAGTGAGAGTGTAATAAAGTTTTTTGACAACTTTTTGCTAGTGAATATGATGCGATTAACACATATCTTAAGTGCATATTTTTTTGTAGCGCAAAGTTTGGAACGCTTCAAGCGGCGCTAAAAAGTATGCTACAAAAAATGCAGCAAAAGTTAACACAAAACAAAAACATGCACACAGCCACAGACACACACACACACTCACACACACTCACACACACACACACACACACACACACACACACACACACACACACACACACACACACACACACACACACACTCAGGGAGGATTCAATTTTGATGGCATTTCCACTTGCATTTGCATTTTACGATAATTTTTTTGTGCTGCAAGCGGAACACGAATAACGTGCAGCATGCAATATACGAGATGGTGTGGCAACTGGAGTGTGGTAAGGTAAGGAGGGGACGGGGACGGGGATGTTGGCGGTCACAGCACGTGTCATGTGGCGCCAAGTCAAGGAGAAAGCTTACCCTTTGCATAAATACTCGGGTTATAGGCCGCAAAATGACACGTTGGCATATTCAGAGCATGATTATGCACCATTCCCATCGACATGCGTGAAACGGAGGTGCGCTAGAAAAAGAAGGTAAACGCAGAGAAAACCAGTTAATTGGAGTTAAATGTTATCATAATTTCTTACATTAAATATATTATACAGTATTATACTTAAGCGTATAACTAGATACAAAAACCAACGACTCTCTGGCTGTGCAATATGCGCAACTCGCATCTGGATTCTATGTAACAAGTTGCAAGTCGAGTTAGTTGTCGACTGTGATACGATAACATAATATATTTAGAATAATTTAGAATAAATAATATATATATTGCTTAACATATATTCTTAAAGTAAAACAGAGATCTTGGCTATATATTACCTGATGCGTTGTCACTGCGTCCAATTCGACCAAGGGACAGGAGCTGCGATGCTGTTGCTGGAACTTTGGCTGATAGGGTTCCAGCATGCGTATCTTGCCCCAGCGATTGAAGAAGAGCATTATTGCACCCACCCAGAGCATAAGAACGAGTCCAACAATCAGCACCTCCTCGGTGCGCACTATGATCTTGGGTCCTGCCATGCCAAAAAGACAAATGTGTTAAAAAATTCAGTTGTAGAAGTGCTGTTGGGATTCAATCCGGTTTGGCATCGATTCGATTTTGAATTTCAACTCTGCACACGTACACCGCATAAATAACTCAAGAGACGCTGATTGGAATTCAATTATCCAGCAAAAAAAACACATTCGGTTTTTGACTGGGCCTCATTCCGACCAACGTGTGGCAATTGGATTACAGTTAAGACCATAAACATTCAATTACACGCACCTTGCGGCGCTTTTGTGTGCATCTGTAGCAAGAAATCTTCAAGGCTTTGCCGGCAAGCCGAACATGTGCCATGTTTATGCCACATGATTTACAAATATTCTTTAAATTGCACGACAACGCATTAACTTGTTCAACGTGGCTTTCACTTTTATTTCCCATTTATATGCAAAGATTTTCCATATTTTACTGATGCTTATATACACATATATATGTATATATATACATACATATTCGATGATGTAATTTGTGCCGCAAATTTTTGTGTTTGTTTTTTCTTTGTCTTGAGCCGCTTCACTTACCCGTTTCAATTTTTGTGTCATTTGCAGAGATGGTTGCGCCAGTGGGGTCTATCTCTCGGCTGTTGGCTAGTTCAGCGATGTAATCCTCGGATGTGTTGCTGCTGCCACGTGCGACATTCGGTGACATGACAGCTGTTTCCTCGACTTCCACAAGAAAGTTGGTGCCGCCTTTCCAACCAGAGCCCCATTCTGTAAAACTCGCTTGATTAAGTTCGTCAATCGAGTGGCATGCGGCATGCCACATGCGCCACATGACATGCCGCACGTGGCATATGCACCATCTACTCACCTTCCGAGATGCCAGTCCCGCTGCTGACCTCCTCGGCGTATGCAGCCAGCTTAGCAACTGCAGTTGGCAATTGCAAAAGAAGAGAAGAGAAAAAGAGAGAGAGAGTGAGAGAGGGAATGAGTTTGAGCAACAAAGACAAACGATAAACTCTCGAGTGCGGCACTCTCATGTGGCAAGTGGCAAATATTGACTTGGCCACCATATTGGCCTTCTGTTGCCTGTACTTTGGCCAGCAGCCAAAATGAATTCGGTAGAATTTTGGAGGAATCAAGCAGCTAATTTGGTTATCCTCAAAATTGACAGAACTTTTGCCAAATAAGTCAAAAGTTTCTTTGGCCACAGATCCTTCCATATAGATGTATTAGCCATGATGACAACATATGTGGATACATTTCAGTATTTGAGTTCAACATTTTTGAAGAGTATCAATTGTTTCATTACTTATTTCCTATTTATTTTCATTTACTAGATGCATTTTAAATTGTAAATTCAATTGGCTTTTAAATTCTTGTTAAATAAAAAAAAAAAACAATGTTTCATGGAATTTATTAGCCAAGTTCAGAAAGTCAATTTGAAAATGAATGCAATCTTTAAAGCTAGTTGGCTTATTTATGTGTTGTTCTAATCCAATCTCAATCAATTGCTAATATTCAGCGGCACCAAATTAAAGGGGCACATCAGGAGTATTAAGTGCCCCCAGATAGGGCTGCACCTAAGTCAATTTTCAATGTAAGTCAAACATCATTTCGCTGTAATTTATTAGAAGCTTTGCGTCTCCATGGACCGGTTACCGAGTGCTCAAGTTAGTAAAATTTCTAAGTTGGAAAAGTTGAAAGCACGAAGCACTGCATCGGCATCATTTTTCAGGATGATCCCAACGACTCGGGCAATTCACATCTGCAACTGAGAGTTCTGCATGCAACTTTTTAGCCCCAAAAATAGTTCATAAACAGTTTCGTGAAAATGCTGCTGTGCAAAGTGCTTCTTTCACACAGAAGACACCCGGAAACACACACATAAAAGAATTTGTTGTTGTTCTTGTTGTTATGAACACAATTTAGGAATATGCGCAACTTTTGGCACTTGTTTAGTGCATTAAAAGTTACAGAGCCGTAACAGTAACGATTATTTCGCAGCAAAGGAAGGTCGCGTGGCAAGCGAATTGGTATGCTTCGCAGCTAGCGGGGAAGATGGTCAGGGGGTAGGGGGCATGGGGCATGGGGTAACATTACTTAGTGCCTGTTGTAATGATGATGATTTATGGCGCAGACACAACCACAACCACATCCACAGCCAAAATGCCATCAAGTTAACATCTTCAAGTAAACTTCGACCAAAAAGTAGTTATGCTCCGGTTGCCAGTGCTCGAGTGCCAGATACTCTGGTCGAAGGACATGCATACATAGTATGTAAGTATGTTTGCATGTATACCATACACACATATCTGCATAAGTCCTTTGGCAAAATAACTTTCATTTCAATTTCTTCATTATTTCAGCATTACGAAACTTTCCGAATATCCAAATAGTTAGTTAGGTATCTAAAATCAATGCTTGTCAAACTTCCGATTAACCCAGCAGCTAAATGCTAATACGAAATATTAATCCATATATATATAACTATATACATATATACTTAGTCTGTTACATGTACATAATCACCTAAATTGTTAATGCTTGTGACAGATTCGATTATATTTATTTGCTGAAGAATGAAAATGGTTAACAAATGTAATCTGGGTATGGAAAATACCTCACACACACACACACACATCCCTACATCATCACAATATACTATTAGCGACTAGCTTTTATGACGTGTTAAATGGAATACTCGGATGTGGGAACACTTTAGCCATACTCTGTTTGACACACATACAAGCCTATGTAGGCTTTGAAATCAAGTGCTGACCTTTATGTACATATATACCGTAGAGATATCCCTATACTGGAAGTCTGCCCTTCTGGAGTATTTAATTTATTTATTTACTTGCTGCTCATTTAGTTAATTTGGTTAATTTGCTTAATCTACGCCCGAAAATGAGCTAATTAACATGCACAAATTATGCACAATTCCCTCAAGGCAAAAACCGGGCACAAGATCAGGGAGAGACCAAAACAAGACTAGACAACAAACCTACAACACACACACACACACTCACACACACACACACATACATACATGGACACACACACACGCAGAGCACACACAGCGTTTACTTGACTAAGTTCCTGGAACATTTCTCTGGTGCCACAATGAGAAATTCCCTGAAATTTATGAATGAAACTGAAATGCGCATAAAAATAAAAATGCAAAGTGTAAGCGAAAAACTAAGTGAAATGTAGAGCATAAAAGAAGTAAGACATCGAGTAGGAAAGTTGAAGTATCCAGCCAGTAAAACGAACAATGCACTCAAACTGAAAAACGTGTTCAAAGGGTGAAGCGGAAAGGAAGTGCAGGTAATCAGTGTGTGCGACTGTGTGTGTGTGTGTGTGTGGGTATGTAAGTGTGTGTCACCAAGGGTAAGCCTGGCAATTAAATGCTCGTTAAGTCAAAACCAGCAGCAGCAGCAGCAGGATGTGAGCTCCTTTCTAATTACTTAACGCAATTGAAAGGCAGACCAAAAAAAAAATATAAGAAGTTGAGTGATTGCGACTACGATATACCCTGAACCCAGCTGTAAAGTATATTCTAGTTTTATTGCCAAATTGCCCATTAAAAAGTACTTTCATTTCTTATGGTCGACACAGATACTGAGCATATATATATATATATAAACGCAATCCCCAACTGAAATGAGCAGATATTGACAAACGCGTTTATATATATAAATATTTATGTGTGTGTCTGTGTGTGTGTGTGTGTGTGTGTGTGTGTGTATACACGTAATCGTAGTTAGAGAGCCTTTGCAGAATGCAGAATAAATACACAAACATATTCACGCTCGCCTTGATTATCTTGCTATCCCTTTCTCACGCATACACGTGCGCATATCGGAAATCGAAATGAATCGATATTCACGACCGAAATGAAGGCGGCGATCGATAAAATTAAATAAACGTATATTTCAAATTTGAATTCTCTAACTATCCTCTGATATCCGCGCGCTCATACATATGGACATCGAGTCGGCTGTTGATCCTGATCAAGAATATATATGTATATACTTGATAGTGTTGTAGATGTTCACAAAACAAGTAAAAGTTTGTCAGTTGACTGTGGGTGACTGAAAGATATGATGCAAAGTAGAGACATATCTGAGATGCCTAGAATTGTAGATAGGATCGATCAACAAACATTTCGATTATAATCAGATGACAACTACAAATTTCATATCAGCTCAATTATATATTTCGCTAGATATTACAGGGTATCGTAAGCAACCAAAAAAAAAAGAACAATTAAATTGGTTGCGCCTTTGTTAAATGACACTCGAATTGTGATTTGAGTTGGGCACAGAATCAATTTGCACACGTAAATTGCAAATTGGCGCAGCTGCCGGTTCCAACAACATTCTCGTTGTTTCCCTCAATTCAATCAGCACGTATCGAAACAATAATATCGCTCGAGATTGTCGTTTCCATTATGAGTAAGTGTGCTTGAGAGAATATACAAAGCAGGGAACTCATTGCCGTTTAATAATTCATAATGAAATCACAACAAGAACAATACAAACTAATATATATGTACAAATATGTATATAGGTGTATATGGAAAATGGAATGTAAGTAACATTTATTGATTTTCTATATATTGCAATACACATATACACACAATCGCAGTCAGTTGCTTTGTAAATCATTCAAACAAAAAATACACGCACTCACAACACACACACACACACACACACACACACACACACACTTATAACTCACACGCATTCAACTTCAGCTTTGTTAATTCGACATGAGACATGCAAAAGTTACAGACAGAAGCAGAAATACTGTTAAAACCCTCAGTTTTATTGATATATGTATACGACTTAGCAGCAGACAGGTAAATAAAAACAAAAGGTGTAATAATAGAATATATAAGAATGGAATATTAAGAAACAGATTCAATTCATATGGCTTCATCGCTTATATCTCTTTGAAGCCAGTTAACATTGTCTTTATAAAACATATTTTGGAAATGTTCATTATATCATAATAAAAATGATTCCCTTTCAGCTGAGAGTAGCAATAATATAATAGCAAATGAAAGTTCGTCTTTTTCTTTTAAATAATCGTTTTAGGTGATTGCAAATAATTATTCTAATTACAAAACAATTCGAACTTTCACTTTATCAAGTATTCAGAGCGTTGCTCAGTCAGTCTTTGGCATATTTATATTCTGACGATGTTTAACTTAATTTCAGATGATTCGCAGTAATACACTACTCAAGCCCGCCGATTAAGATGTGTTAGTCTTGGTGCATTAAATGTTTGCATGCCATCGGGCATACTAAACAGGCAAATCAACTTCCCTCTCATGCTACACTCAGATAAAAAATTGCCATACTTTTGACGTTAAGAGTTCCTCACTTTATTAACCAGAAAGTAGGTTTCTAAAATTGAAGATTGTGGATTGCTCGATTGTGTTTTGCATTACTTAATTTGATATTTTCTCTCTGTAATTTTTCATTACCATTTTCTGAATTTCTAAAGGATTTTTTCTAAGAATCAGGGTTTGCATTTTATTATTTGTAAGACCTTTGTAATTTTAAGAATATTTATTTCTTATATTTAGAAATCATTTCTAAAATTAATATGAAATTTCTAATTTTTTAGGGAAATTTTCTAAAATGTAGGGCAATTCTTTTGCTGAGTGTAGGTGTATAAAATATGTGCTGCATAGCCAACCAGCAGCTCGTTTGGCTCACATTTTAATGGTTTGCTGACCGCAAGGCAAAGCAAGTTGTATGTAGCAAGTAAGAGCAAAGTTGCTGAATTAGCCACGTAGAGAGCAAGGCTCATATAAAACTCAGAGTGCTGTCTAAGTGGTCACCGTGAGGTGAGGTGAGGACAGTGCACACAAAGCTGAACTGCTTAATTAAAGCTGTAAACTGAATTCACATGACTGCCAGCCAGCACAACTGTACGCAAACTGAGCTGAGCTGAGCTGGTCTGGTCTGGGCTGCTGCAGGGATCGTTTGACACCTGGTCAAAGTGTTGTGGGCAAATCCCAAAAGGTTGGCTAGTTGCCACACTTGTCGCTAGTTGACTTGTTTCAAGAAGCACTCTTCCAGCAAGCAAGTGCTTAGGGCCAAGTCCAAGGCAACCTGGCCAAATTAACGCTTAAATAGTTGCCGCCCCGCGTGGCATATGCTAACGAGCAGCTTAAGTGCCACATGTGGACGCGATTTGCGCATTGCTCTTTGGCAATTCCCAATGCTATCGACAAGCGGAAATACCAAACGGAAATACCGCTAAGATGCGCTGCCAGCAAAGCGAGCGATCGAGCAATTGAGCGATTGAGCGCCCCGTCGTCTTGGCCGCCAACTTGCCGAGCAGATCAACAAGTGGCCAGCTAAAGGACTCGCAGGAAATCACGACAGGACGAGCGCTGTTTAGCTACTTCTGGCCTACCTGGCCGGGCCAATCGACTGTTTTTATGGCCCAAATGGCCGCAACGATGTGGCCCGGCCCTAAATGCTGGCCCACAAATGCATTTCATAAACACACAACAAAAAAAAAGACGAATATATATATATATATATATACATATATATGTATAAACAAGCAGGCAAATTTTGACAGATTTCCGCAACAAAAGTTTTATAGCATTTATTCATTTTGTATGATTTTTTTTTAGGAAGTGAGTTAAAAAATCGCTCAGAAAATATGACGAGACGTGTCCAGATGTGCTTTAACAGGGGACTCGAGTGTTTGTATGTGCTTCTCTCCCTCTCTCTCTCTCTCTCTCTCTCTCTCTCTGTGTCTTTCTCCCCTCCTTCTCTCACCACTTGGCATCTCACATACCCTGTACTCAATGCATTAGTCCTTGTGTTTTCATAGAAAACAATTGTTTTACGCACTCAAAAGAAAAAAAGAGAAAAAAAATTGCATTTGAGAATGTGAAAACATTTGTGTTTTTTTTTTTTTTGGTTGCATTCACAAGTTTGGACAACTTTCGGTTTTAGCATTTCAGACACGTCCCGAACTAACCCAAGTGGCCATCTTTGCATTGCTGAAATGTTCATTTCGAGTGTTTCAATTGTACCCCGCATAATTAATGCAAATGGGGTGTTGTGTGACTGCGGCAACTCGCTTGTGCACCTGATTTATTTCAAATTACTTTTTAATTGACTTTATTTTGTTAGTTATTATTATTAAGCTATTATATAGCTTTAATGAAAATTAATGACTTTAAAGTTCAAGGAAGGAATTAAATGAAGTACTTTGATTATTGAATTGGACAACATTTCATTAAGTACATATTTAATTATTTGCAAATGGGACTTTAAGCCATAAGACTATAAAATATTAAGTTAACTGAGAAAAATTTGCAATCTCCTCGCTCTTCTATATAATAAGATATTCTAGCTCTGCCAGCAGATGAAGCAGTGAATCTTAATATTTTTTCCTTACAGGATACTTTGTATGCGAGGACATCACAGTTGTACTTATGTCAATGGCATTTCAATTGTTTGGATTGTTTCAAGGCTGTGCATGCTCAGTACACAAGTTGCACATGCTGCTCGTGTTGGCGCAGAGATTGGAACTTGTGCTGCGTGCAACTTCTGCATTGGTGGCCCAATTAATGGCATAGCCACATGTGCCGCAAGGGCACCGGGAATTGCTAAATGATTGTTAATTAGTAGATAGTCCTTGTGCAATTTAGAGCATGTCGTTAATGTGTAATTAATTGCTAATCAATCCATCAGTTGAATCTATCAACTTAATTGGGCGAAAGTAATGCTGTGCACAACTAACTGAAGATAAAAGCTAACAGTGTTTTAGTATAGCTATTAAGCTTTACTGTTGTTTTTATTACCTAACTCATATTTGTTTTCTATATGTAGACATGGGCATATAAATATATTACTTTTATAGTTGCTGTTTGTTTCACATGGATATTATTTTATTTGTATATTTTGTGTAATCTTATTTCAGCAAAAGGCAAAGTTTTGGCTCAGTTTCAAAGAGTTTCTTTAAAGTTAATAAAGTTAATAAATTTGGCGATATGAATGCAGTTGTAATGGCTGGAAGCAAGTGCTTCCACTGTTATCTGCTTTGCCCCACTGTAGTTACAGTCACGTGCTGGCAAGGCAAAACAAAACAAAATTGCAATCTGAACAACTGCAGTTTGGGGGACTCGAGTTGAAGCATTTGAGGTCCGGTCCGGTCCGGTCCGGTCTGGTCTGGTGTGGTTTGGCCCGGCATCCGGTATTTCTTTAACGCACTCGCAGATAAACAGCAAAGAATGAAAAACCCCGAGCTGAATTCCATTTGGGATTTGGAAAATTGTCAACCATACACCAACACACTTACACACACAGTCGACTTTGTTGTTGACCATAAATGTGAAAATGGTGTGAACATTGTATTCGGACCGCTGCCCGCTGCTGGGCCAGGGGGAAATTCCAGTTGGCGGTTGCGGAAAACTTCGGACTTCTTTTGCGATTGCGTGTGAAAATGCAACTTTCCACGTTTCCTGCCGATAGTCAAATCCAGTCCAGCAAATGGCCAAACAGTCGCAGTTGCAACCTTTTGACGCCAGCCAAATAAATGGGCTGCACCCAAAACATCAGCGAGTGTGGGAAATGTAACGCCTTAACCCTTCATCCTTAACCCTTAACCCTTCATCCTTCACCCTTTACCCAATAACCATGTGAGGCTGAGTGCGCCTATATTCTTCTTATAGCTATAGATGCGTATTTCCCTTCGATGTTTACCCATCTCATCATTTGTAGATTACTGGAATGTCCATTTTTGCATATTTTTTATATGGAAAATACAGAAAAGTATATTTCCGTTGGGGTTTTTAATCCCAAAAATAGTTTGTCACATTCTACTTTCTACTGTTAAACTCAAAATTCTCCTCGAGAAGTTTCCAAACAAAATCTTTGGCGCAAGCAGGTAAATCTTCAAGATTTTGTACCTCGTCTGTTCTAGAAGCTTCTAAACTAAATTCTAGAACGATATATCATACTTAAAAACATATTTTTGCCTGACTCTTTCTTTATTTCGTTTATTTATTTATGAGCTAAAAGTCAGAGCGATAAATAAGTCAAATGTGTAATTTAATTTATGCAATTGTGGTTTAATTAGTATTCTGTCAAATTTCTAAAGAATGATTTATATTTGGTTGGGAAATGTATTGCGATTGATAGAAAATCCAATAACAGTCAACGATTGATTTATAGCATTTAAGAAAACATAAATTCATATTCAATTACGATATTGAATTTATGTATGAATTGAAATGGACACTTAAAGAAATAATAATACACTGCAATATTGGATTTGGTATGATTTAATATGAAAAAAAGTTTAGTTAATTTACATTTATTCTGGAACATGTCAAGCTAGCCAATTTATAAATGATGTGAATGAAATTCGAAGTTTAGTCGCAAAGCACAACATTATATATTAATTGGATATATGCAACATTTATGTAGAATTTGGAGTGATTTGAACTGGCTCAATTGCATATCTACGTATAGTTTCATGAAATATAATTGGCACTGGCTACAGACAATTGAACTATTTATTGGACAACCTTGAAGAGTGGCAACAGCAGCAGGAGGCGCAGTCATAAGTAGTTTGGGCCAAGAACGTTCGATTCCATTCAGAAATTTCATGTGAAATAGCCAGAGAGCAACTAAGTAAAATCTCTCAATAAAACTCAAAGTTCTCAAAGTGAGTGATCGAAATGCGCATCTGTTGTTCTCCAGCAGCGACGATGTCTCTCCCTCCTATCTGTCCGGGACAGCACCTTATGCATCCGTGTCCGTGTCCGTGTCCGGCGTCAACGGCGTTTGCACAACAATTAGCCACAATTGCAATGGGCCAAGGTTAAGCGCAGCCGCAGCGCCGCACACAAAATCCAAATTGAAATTGAAAGGCCCAAAAATATATATTTTAAGAGCTGGATGCAATCATATAGGGAGTGTGCTTGTTTGTGTGTGTGTGTGTGTGTGTGTGCAAAAGTGAAAGCAAGCAAGCATAAAGGGTTGCCAATAAACAAATGGTGGCCAACATTGTGATTTTAGGGTTTTTGATTTCAAATATATGTACTTGCGAAAATCCAAGATTGATCTATTGAAAATCCATCAAGGCAACTGCGATAGACGAAGCAACGACGACAATCAAGGACGCTAGGCAGGTAAAATGTTGCTGTTATGATGCCTTTAAGCCAAACGCACACGTGCACAGGGTCTAACGGACTTTCATTTGGCCATAAAACATTTTTCCGCGCATCGGATTAGCCAATTGTCCTCGATTGTTGTTGGTTGGCTATCAGGTAAAGCGATAGCAAAACCAAAAACAACACACAAAATTCGTGGAAATTCGCGAAAACTACCTGCGTTGAAAGCTGAGAGGACAGACATTGGACAAAGGACAGGACAGGGCTATATAAGAGGCAACTGCTGGACGGTTAGGCCAAACAGTTGACAGTAAACCAACGCAGCGAACACAACGCGAATAACTTCAGTTGAAATCAAATCTAGTTAAACACTTCTCACACAGATATATATATATATATAATTTGATAGAAATGGGCTGCTGTGCGAGCAATTTAAAATTGGATACGAGTCGTGGTAGTTTGAATGGTAGCGCTTATGCCACAAAGCGCAGTCGCAGCAGCAGCTGTGGCAGCAGCAGCGCCAGCAACAACAGTAGTGGGCTGGGCAGCGATTGCAGCACGCCGCGTCGCAATCCAAGTGGCAGCATTTGGAGTCGCAGTCAAACGCGTCCAATTTGCGATGATTTTGCCGAGCAGCCAGTGGCTGAAACGGAATTGGAGCGCTCCTGTGGCTATCATACATGCAGCAGCGCTGCCTCAACGCCCACCAAACAGCAGCTGCGACGCACTCAGGACATGGAATTGGCCAATCAAAGTAATCAATGCAACAATCGCAGCAACGATGATGATAACAGCACCAGCTGCGACTTGGCATCCGCCGTGGGCAACCTGGAATGGGAGATGTATATGATGCAGCACGCACAGCGCATTATGCCGAAGACATCGTCTCCGATTTGCCAGCGTCGCGATTCCACATTTGAGCTGAACTCACGCTCCTATCACAAGTGGCGCAACTATCTGCAGAGTACGCCCGCCCACATGCTCCACAATGTCAGCCACATACCGGAGGCAATAGCCGGCCACTTTTGTCCCACCGATTTTCCAGCCTTCAGCGATCTGGAGGAGATGGAGAGCGCCGCCAAGCGTTTCAAGATTGATACAAATGTCTCAGTATATGCGGTCAGCAGTCCGCTTCAGCAGCAGCATCTAACGCATCCCATTAGCACAGATCTTTAGAGGAGGATGGGGTGAGGGTATGTGGGCATGTGGGCAACTGGACAGGTTCCGCTTGGGTCGGAGTTGTCACAGTTGCTTGCACATTTGGGTTGACTGCTGGCTACTGGCAACAGGTTGTCGGTCAGTCAATCGAGCCGCGAACCAATACCTCAATCGCAACAATTTGTATATACAAAGATGAGAAGAGGCGCGAGGAGAGCAATCAATCAAGCATTGAATCACTTCCAACAGGTTGTACAGATGCAAATTCATCAGTCATCAAATCTGTCATCTATCATTTAAGTAATTCATCAAACTGTTGTTCGGCTTCAACACACACAGCAACAACAACAACAACAACAACAACTAATTGCCTAGCAATGATGTACAAAAGCAACAACAACATTTACATCCTTTTTTATGCTTAGCCTTAAGACACAAATTTAATTTAAAATACATTTTTTTTTGACAATTTAAAATCAAATTTTAAGAACGTATTTTAATCAAATTGAATTTATTAAATTCTATTTCATAATAAATACATGCAAATAAAATTCACATTTATCTTGATGTTTAAATTTAAAATGTCATTCCTTCGGCAGGACACACTTTGAAGCTGGTCACTTTGTGGACTTTCTTAATTAGTCGAAAGCAAACAAATATTTAACAAGACAAAGAAGAAGCAGGCAGCAGGCAGCAGCAGCCGGAAGCATTAACTACTGCTGAACCTGTTGTCCTTGTTGTCATTGTGCTGTGCAGCGGGTCGAAGGCCACTTAGCGCTTTAACCTGTATTCGAATTGACGCTTGGTCAATTTCTCAGAGATTTGTCTCAGCCTCAATGCAAACATAATTACGCCTTTTGCATTCTACATTTGTTTCAAATCCATCATTTCCGATAGTTTGCAATTGAATTAATTTTTCGGGCTTTGTTCCCTGATATGATTATTTTCCTGTTTTTTTTTTTTTTACTTCATCTTATGAGTCTCTCTCTTTCTCTCCCTTTCTCAGTTTTACTCTTTCTGGCAGCAGCTTATAATTTTCATTATATAAGGCTACATTTGTATTTGTCTGATTTTCCCTTTTATTGTGTTTGTTAATCAGCGACCTTCTGCACATTTATACTTTTCCACTTTTCCACTATTCTCCCCCAGTCTTTCATATTGAATATCCTCTCCCCACGCCTCCCCAATTCAACTTCGTTATGCATCTCTCATCTCATCGATCTGAGTTTCTGCACTAAACTTCAGTCTGTTGCCATTGTTTCTGTCTTGCCACAATTTCAATGTAATGATTTTATTGCGGTGCAGAGCTGGCAGCGGGGCAGTTGGGTTGGTCAGCTGATGACCAATGGCAATGTGCTTGATAAGGGAAGGGCACCAATTTAATGTCAGCCACATGGCGGATGCGCAACGTACAAATGAAAATTGATATCTCCATTTAAATTTGCAATCATTATTTATACAAATGTAAAATTACAAATAGGATATCCAATTAAACCAGCCACAAATAAGCGAGCATACAGAAAATCGGCAGTCAAATATTACCTGCGATTCGTCGAAGTTTCCATACCCTAACAGGTATATGTATATCAAAATATTTGGAGAGTTCTTTACGTCATAACAACAACTGATATTGAAGGCTGGATTAAAATAAAAATTCGATGAAATGTATGTACATATATGTATATATATATATATTTGTAGAAACAGAAAGATTTATAGAAAATCAGTTGTATTGTGATGGATCATTCCTATGCTACTCAAGTAAGGCAATGCTCCGATTTACAGAATTCCAGTACCTGTATCCTGATTTCATCAATCAGTAAAGTATCCATTGAAAAGGCAATGAGCCCCAATCAGGAATATCTATGTTAACTTTTAATGGTAACATGCGTTGCAAATGTCGTGACATTAGTTATTAAATCGCCGCAGGAACACTAAAAAGTTGGCTTCGAAGTTTGCTAACAAATGCTCAAAATATTCGTTTGAACTTTCCACAAATTACGAACAGCAATGACAGTGACAGCAATGGCACTACAACAATTCTTTTGATTGTTCATAATTTAAAGTGATATTGATTTTGGCTTTCTCTAGACAAGCCCACCTCTCCACTCCCCCTTCACTTGTAACCTCTAGTTGTAGTAGCCGTTAGCCATGTGAAGTGTCTTGGGACCGATTTTCAAGACCAGGTGGCGGTGTCGAGGACACCGGTTTCTTGGCCTCATCATTGTCATCGACTACGTTATCGTCAACGAGGGGCCACTGCTGACGGGCACTGCCTTGGTTAGCCAACACAATAATTGACATTCTACCGAGCAATTTCAAGTCTGGCCCATATCCCCATCCCCATCCCCATCCCTATATATTTGTCCATTCAGCACAAGTGCAGCCCTGACATTGCAGGCGGTTTGCATTTTTAAGCTATCGCCAGCAATATAACAATGGCGTGACAGTGTTAGCTATAATTGTGCACCCCGCAATTGTTCAATCAGTCAGTCAGACGTTCCGTCCGGGCAAAAGCCCCAAGCACCGTTACCAGCGACCTATGCACAGGTAGCAAAAGCCGCGTTTTGAGGTTGCAGCGTGGGGTCAGTTATAATTTCATTCGCGTGTCTTGTGTAAACATACACTGAGCGAAAGCAGTGACAACATAAGACAATTTATGAACTATGATCAATCATCTCAATCGTATATTGTTTGCTTGTTTGTTATATTTAATTTGTAAAATGAATAAGAGCATGTTGTAATCACGTTTAATGTTTAGTTTTTTACTTTTTCTAGTTTATATACCCTCACAATTTGCACAGTGCACTCAGACTTAATTGTGTCTATATGCTGAGCACTTGTGTAGCTGCCCAAGCCCAGAAACATTCCTTATCAAAATGACAGCATTTGCCAAAGTGCACACGATCTGACCCCAAACTAAAAGCTGCTTTTCACAAACCGACTCGAAAAACGATTGTAAACATTTCTGGGCGAGGCAAATTGCAGCACCTTTGCACTTGCGACGCAGGTGGCCGACAAGTTCCTGTAAAGCCTGCGAGAATACGCCTTCATTATTGCAAAACTTTTGTCGCTTCCAATCCCGGCAGCTTGTTTTCTGTTTGCGTGCTGTACAAGGAAGGATACATGGTTACAGGGTCGTACGGGGAGGGGGAGGGGGAGTGGAGAAGGAGCCTGGGCGAGAAAACTGTTGGAGCTGCTGCTAATAATATGAAATAATTTTCAGATGCGACAACGCACAATTTAACAATTTTATGTGCAAACGTTCCAACTTTTTTCCTGCCTGGAGAAAAAATAGCAAATGGTTTATGTGAGTGTGACAAAAGTTTCGCAATCTATATGTGTATGTGTGTGTGTGTTAGAGAGAGAGAGAGAATGCACGCACATAAAAGTGATATAGAATTATTAACTTTCTGGGTTTCGAATAGAGCGATATAAACAGCAAAAACTGCCCCGAGGCATCGAGTGCTCTGATTGTTATCGAAGGGCATCGAAGAAGAGGAGGCAGGCAGGCGGGGTGTTAGTGTGGGCGTAGTTCCATCGAAAATATGGTTCGCAATGTGTGTGTGTGTGTGTGTGTGACTGTCAAAGGGTCTCCCGGAGCTCTGCGTCCAGCAATAAATAGTAAATCGAGCTATTTTCAATTGAATTTATGCGAAAAATGAGTCAAATTAAATTGAAAAGGTCAACTGGGGAAAAAATGGGGGCCAACATGGTATGTATGTATGTATGTATGTATGTATTTGTTTGTATAAATTATTGGGGTCCCTGCCATGGCATGTCGTTTGATATTATTTACGGCTTTTAATGCTCATAAATACAAAAATATGAAATGAATTTAATAACACTTAATACTAAATACAAAATGAAAAGTGTACAACCAAAAAGGTGTCACTCATTAAGTTGAAATAATAAATTCATTAATAATGTGCTAAGCCCTAAAATTAAGCCTAAATTTCTGAGGCAATTTAGGTCAAAGAAATTCCAATGAAATTGCCTTTGCTTACGCCACATTTTCCACTCGAAATTAAGCTAATGAATAAAATTAGATGAATTATTATTTTTTTTAAATTTTAAAATGAACAACATACAAACCCCTAACAGTCTAATCATATATACATAATTATATAATATAAAATATTAATATGTAAAATTCCGGCATTTCTACACCAAGTTGAATAAGTGATGGCATGCATAAGTAAGGATTTGTCATATTTAGAGTGCATGGCTCATTAGCTGGTTCCTGGAGGTGGCTGAGAAGTGGACTCGTACATATTAAATTCATAAATATGTATATATACATACATACATATATATAAACCTTTTGTGGACTGACAGTGGGCAAGCATCTATTAGCCCTGACCATGCATAATTCAAGCATTTTAATGGTAGCTCGGGGATATAACAAAAAGAACATGCCATGGAAAGGAGGCTAGGAGCAGCAGGAAGAGTGCTTCTGTTGTTGCGACACTTCAAGCGACAATAAGGCTGAAGTGATGCTGGCTTAAGCCAAGCCAAGACAATCAATTAAGCCACACCAAAAAGTACAGCATAGTTCTCGCTGCCACTGAGCCACCGAGGATTACAAAACTGAATTGTCATCTTGTGGAGGATGCTTACAGCAGCGTTGGGTATACGCTTCGATGGTATGCTATGCTTAGGCAGCTCTAATTACTAAATGCAACACTTGAGATGGCACAATTGAGTGCTCTCCTTGGGTCTGAAGGGTTTAGTGCCAAATCCCACTTGAATATGTCGCGTGCGCGTCGCGATTGTGTGAATTCAGGCCGAGATTAGGGCTGGGCCAATGATAGCCGCAGCTGAGCCAAAGCCACAGATTAACTAGTCAACCCGTATAGGTGCCTGTGTGTGTGTGTGTGTGTGTGTGAGTGTGTGCTCGTGCGTGTGTGGGTGTGTGTGGTTTATAGCACTTGGTATTTTATGGAAAAACGTAGCGGGGCTTCAGTTTAATTCGTTCATCACAAGGCGTTAGGCACGAAATCCTTGGCAGGATTATG